AAACTGGACTGTGTTAGTCTCAGGGAAGAAGAACGGTGGTCGGATCCAGCCAGGCCTGGATGAAGGGGTGGGAGTCAGGTGATTGTGCTGACTGCTGCAGAGTGGTAAGGGAGAGAGGAAATGATGATGGATGAGTGTTGTAGATGGAGAGACTCAACAAGCAGTCAAGTTTGCAAAAGAACCGTCACCTGGGTTTGAACGAGGAGCTATGTTGCTGTAGTAGTCAACAATAAATGGAGAAATCGAAAGGAGTGGTGAGAGGTGGCTGCAAATTCTATCGGAGTAAGATGTGTGAGAAAGATCCACAAAAGAGTGCTTAGTAGATTAGATATTTTTGCGTAGGAGAGCAAAAGTGGGCGAGATCACATGTAGAATTTGACCTTCTCCTGAACTTCTGTTTAAAAACTCCTTTTAGGGAAACATTAATTAATAGCCTGAAATACATACATGTCATTGAGTCTACTAACTAATTTGAAGTTAAGGAATGTCACTATCTTTCCGCGAGATTTTATTGTATACTGTTTTTTGCTAAATTAAAATGCCAAGCACTTGTTCTATTAAAATTTCAACTGCATGCCACTGAAATAAATAAATATGGCCTGTACTTTGTCATAATGTTATATAATGAGTGACAGTTTTAAAGTAAATTTACATGTTGAATTTTAAAAGAAACTTCATGCAGTATTTATAAATGCAAAAACTAAAGTAATGGAAGTTAAGGCCCAATTTCATGTAATGATTCTTAGCTAGGGGATTGGAAACTACTGCAGAATTCTTTCCGATAAAATAAATTAATTTTAACATATTGATTGCACTTATAGTACTGTACTTATATAAGTACAGTCGTTTATTACTATGCATTCTTATAGTAACACTACAGTATTTTGTATACAGTTAGCAGCAGAGTATGTTAAACTGCTATCTTATGGATGCCAGTAGAAGATACTGTAATGTGAGACAAAAAGAATCTTGTCTGTTCTTGCTATCAAATTGAATAGAGCAGAACACACATTGGTATGCTGAACATGGGCAAGGGCTTTCTGGAAATGGATTTATTTTATTCTCCTTTGTTGTTGTCTTTTTTCCATACTGAGACTTGATGATTGTGAGTCATCAAAGCCTGAGCAGATTTAGTTCTCCTGTTTCTGGCAAGTACTTGAAAGAGAAATACACCCACGCCTCCAAGCTAAGGCAGCTGCAGTCACTCACAAGGCTTTTGTTTCTATTTAAAAATTCCACTGTGATGGACTCCTCAGCCTCTCACCTGGGGAAGACTACTGTTGTGAATCCTGGTTGATACTGGCACAGGACCACAGGGAGAAGCTGAGTTGAGCTTTTCCACTTTGCTAGATCAGGTGTCATTCATGTCCATTTGCACCACTGTGTTTTAAACAAATGGATGAGTGGGAGTAAGCCATCTCTACCCCCTTCTCACTTGCATATCCCTTTGAGTTGCTTCAGAACATGCTGTATAATTCAAGTGCTGAGAAAGATGAAGAATGAGAAGAATGTTGACAGGACAGAAGAGACATACCACATACGAGGGAGAGACATCCCTTCAGTGCAGTTTTCAACACTACTTTGCTTTCCCACCACACTTTCAGGCAGTGAATCTTGAGAAGAATTTTAGAAAGATAGTTTTTCAAAGAAGAATGTTGAAGGGTGGCAGATCTTGATCAGCCATCTTGACAACAAGAGCAATGGGAATATACAGAATACAGATAACAGGAATGAAGAAAAATAAAAAAGAAAGACACCAGTTACCAGTATAGGACAGAATAAAAATAGGGATACTACTATGCTAATCTATATAATGCTAATCTGTAGAACTATTATTGTACAGTATGTGGCAAGTGACAATTGGCAAGTGTTTTGGCATGCTGTCTTTTCTTACCTTTCTCTTCTGTGCTCTTTTTGTCTTTCTGTTCTTTACCATACTATAATAAGGGATGAGATTCTAGATAAACTGATTATGTTCATAAAGACTGTTGCCCACCATGATGATTGTTTTAGGATGGTGAGAGGGCCTTAAAAAGGGGAACAGATACAGAGCAAGCCAAGGGATACTTTTGTACAGCTTGTACAGTATCTTGTACTTTTCCTAGGATAAACTGCTTTTGCTTCAATTGTAATATCACTGGGATCCAAAATGAAGAGAACCTTTTGTTATCTGGTTTGGGCTTTATTGTGGAAAGTCTATGTCAATGTTAAAATGTATTTTGTGCTCACTCGCTGCTCTTTATGTAATGCAAATCTGTCTTCCTTTCAGATTTGGGCTGACCAGTGTGTGTTTATTATTTCAGTGGTTTATAAAGTATTATAACTTAAGTGAACTGTTGCCAATATCACTGTCATTGACACCATGATTGCTTACTCAACTGAAGAATCCCAGAATTGAAGATGACAAACTATAGAATTGAGGGGTCTTTGTCCTCTATAATACCAAGTGGTAATACCCTTGCATCATGTGCTCAGAAATGAAACTCAGAACCAAATAGTTAATTTTCTGTCTTACTATACCAAGTGCTGTTGTAAATTAAAATTAAAAGATACTGAGTAAATTATTAAATGCGGCCAAAATATCAGGCTGCCAAATCAGTTTCATTTGAAAGTGCAGATAACTGCCTCAATTTCTGAGTCTCCCATTTTTTTTAATTCTGATTTAATGATAAAGGATTTTGCTAAAGAAAAATTGAATACATTATTTTTTACCCATACATCGTGGCCAATGAATAATTGAACAGTCTTGGACTCATTAGCACAGTCACACCCATCCTTTCATATCCTAACCACTTGATTCAATTCAGGGTCTCGGGGGACTCAGAGTCAAGCAATGGCAAGCAATGGGTGGAAGGACGGGTACACCAGTGACAGATTGTCAGTCCATCACGGGGACTGACACTATGTCCACACAGATACAAACAACAAGAGCAGTTTTTCCAGAAGCCAGTTAACCTACAGTACTAGTATGTCTTTGGACTATGGCTGGAAACCAAAGCACCTGGAGGAAACATGGGGAGAACATTAAAACTCCATGCAAAGAGCATACCTGTTAAACTATGACAGATGATCAGGAAAACTCTTCACCTGGAACTGTCAGCACGGTGCTGTATACAGTACATTCTGTGCGCAAGTTTAAAATGGAATAGCCAGTGTGCTAAACTTTCATAAAAGAGAAAAAGAAAATATTGTTTCTGCTTGTATCTCTATTTGAACCATCCAGTTTGTCTCTCTCTCCATACAACATTAAGAAAGGACTGATTTGAGCTGTGAAAAAAAAGTTATGTAGAATTAAACGTGATTTCACTCATTGCAATGTATAACATAAGCCACTGGAAAAGGGACAAGACACTATTCAATGGCATCACATACTATAGTTATAAAGTGCAGAGAAGAGTGTAAGTTTTAGAAGAAAACTTCAGAAGCAGGTAAGATTCTCTTAGATCCTGGAATGTGCATAGGCTACTGCTACTGCTAGTGCTACTGCTACCATAAATGTTGTCAAGAGTATGAACAATTGTTTTGAACTCAGTAGGGTAAATAAAGGCCAAAAAACAGGCAATAAAAATAAATGAACCCAAATTGCTCAATTGCAAAAGAGTTCCATGAAAGAGACAATTCCAAATGTGAGTTCCCGGCCATGTCTGTGTTGGTTTCAGAAGTAAGGAAATGTGAACAGAAGTCCTGGAAGATTTCTACAATGTGCACAGGGTGCACAGGTAAAGAGGTTTGTAAAAGCCTCAGAGAAGAGCTGTGTGCAAGAACGACCAGGAAATTCCCTCAGTGTGTTAGCTCAGAAATGCATGGTCTCTGCGGTCTGCGAGGTAAGGAAATGCTTTTTGGCTTTCTTGCACACAGCATTTAGAGAAAAGGCCCCTGGCTCTATTGCAGATGAATCACTATGTAGGGGCTTGAGGGGTAGACTACAACTGTGAAAACCACCCTAAACTAAATTAAGAATGTGTTAGTTAAAAAATAAAAGGGGCGCTGGGTGTGAGTTTTTTTTTACACTTGAAATCAGCTAACAATGGCTGATCATACTCTGTTTATGTGTTGCTGTTTTTTTAATGTCAAAATTTTGTTAAAGTGGTATGAATCTATGTAAAACCCATTTCATTACAAGAAAACACAAAAGACAGTGTAGCTATATAAAAAAAATAGTTTTTACTTAGGGTGGGGTAATAATTAATAAGCCATTGACTCCAATAGTTCTAAGCATTTATTGTAAACGTAATGGTTTAAATACATCTACGAAACAAAACAAACTGAGATTCTAGCCACTTACAGAACAAGATGCACAAATGCCTGAAAATGACTGGAAAATAACCACTAAAATGAACACTGAAATCATTTAATATTTACACAAAAGAAACCAAAAGCAGTATAAGTATGATTTTTAAAAAAATATTGTTTTAAATAGTATAAACATCTAAGCAGGATTTTACAAACTGATCAATGAAAACAAAAACAAACATTTGAAGACTATATTGTTCCAAGACCAGAGAAGCAGAAATGTGATGTGGCAACTGAGGTAAATATAATACAAACACATGAAAGCAAAACTCAGAGCTGACCTTTGCAATCTCCATAGCTACCTACTGGTCTGTAAGCAACTAATTTATATGTTGTTGTGTTTTATAAGCACTGAACCCAAACAAATGTAAAATACAACTCTAAGGCTTCAGGAACATGATGTCTTGGTCAGCTCAGGCTTTTGAATAATAAGTTAGACTGGAGTTTAAAACACTACAAATAAGTCCCAGTGTTCATACAGAGCTCAAGAGAAGCATGGCAAATTATACAGAACCAACATGTCCTCGGGCTATTTGAGCTAGTGTTGCATCTCAATCATCATTTGGAACAAACTAATAAAATTATGGAATGTTAGGCAGCCTAGGTACATACATCCTATTGTAATATATAAAAATATTCTTAATAACATTTGTGATTCATGTGCTTTATTTAAATTGTTTCTGTTCATACTTTGAAATGACAAACCACATTTTATTTCCACCACTAACAGACACGTACTATATGAATTTCGTCTCTTAAAAATTAAAACCTTTATCAACAGTGTCTTCATATTAGGACTTCTGTGACTGCAAATATGCCTTTGGTATCAAACGTGATACCATGTCCAAACAATTTTTAAAAGCTTATAATTTTATCAACTAGAACCATTTTAAAATTAGGTACAAGACTAGATAATGTGTCAAACAAACATCTTGAAGACACATAAATGAAAATGTTTATAAGGTCATAAAATGACCTGTATTTTTCTTTAACTTAACTTGAGTAAATAAAATAAGAAGAATACAGGTATTAGTGCAGTAAAAATCTATTAGACTACTTTTTTGTTCGTTTTGTTCAGATTGTACAATTGAAGATTCCCAGATGTGTAATGCTGAAAAAATAAAAAGTATTGTTTGAAAAAGTTAAATACCCAATAAAATATGGAAACAGTTAACTGCAAATATAATATAAAGACAAATACAATAGCATAAATGCCCCCTTAAATATTTATATTTTTCAAGTTTTTATGCAGAGGTGCATATGCATATAATCATTATGTCATATACAGTATATATAATGTTTATCAGATTCCATTACAGATGTAATTGACAACCTACTGTAAATACTTTTTTTAATTTTAAATAGTTTTCAGGTCACAATTTAATACATGTTAATAATGTAGATTCTTCAAACAATTTAAATGACTATCCATATTTCAAATCCTGAAGTTTATTCAACTAGATTTGCACTGAAACAGAAAAAAAATGAAAGAATTGATCAACAAGAAGCAGTGTGTTTTAACAAGACCTATGCAGAAAGAAAACTCTACTTGCAATTAAACCTTCTGCTTGTTCTATGGTCACAGTTAGAGGAAATTAAGGCAGAATAGTTTAAACAAGAAAATGAAGCCAGGATTATATCAGAAATATTTCAAGATAGACTGGGAAATTTCATTGTTTCATTAAGGGACTTTTGAACAATGGAGACCTATCCACAAAGCATTACACTGTCTGTATAACTGGTTTACACAGGAAATTCAAAACATACAGATTTAATCAAATGTAATACAGGAATTTATCATTTTCTTTTTTTAATCATGAGTCTCACTCTGAACGTCTGATTACTGACAACAGAAGAGTGCACTATTCCATCAGCCACGATAATTTGTGAGAACGAAAGTGGAACTTCTCAATGTGCAATCAATATACAGAAGGCCTCTTTCATTTCAAAAGAAGTCAACCAATTCTTGTGAAAGCTGTTGTGGTTTGTGCGATTACTGAGGTTTCTTATACAGCTTTTGTACTAAGCTTAGGCAGTAATTTCTTGAGGAAACAAAATAAACTACCCACTGATAAGAAAAGTGTCAAAAAGTAGGTCACTAGGGTGTGTAGCCAGAAAGTCTTTCATACTCTTGTAGGCAAGAAAACTCTTTTTTTTCCAGAGTTCCAAATTTACATATTTGAATATTAAAACAAATAAAAATGTATATTAAAGATAAAACAATACTATGACTATTGACAAGTATTTGATGTAGCCAAGCGTAGTATCAATTCACAGTATCCTTTCCTGATGTCTGCTATATTTTATTATGACTACGTTCTGTAGGCTATATAATGCTGTAAAACCAGAGTTCAAATTTGAAGTTTTTGGTATTGGCATCTGCTTTTGACATTTCTGGAAGCCTGCATAGACACTTTCAAATAGGTTGGTGTTAAGCACTGAGACTACAGTAAATTATGTGTGGAATAATGGTTCACATGTAAAATGTAACTAAAAACATTTAAATTAAGCATTTATAAAAAGAAACATTTATCAAAGGCCAGATTATAAGAATTTGGAAAGGACTTTATGTTAAATCGTGTCAAGTCTATTCTGAAAACCTGATTTCCACAATTCAGGCTTATTGTAACATTTAATATTGTGCGCTATACAAAAATATACATGTATTGTGCGCTATACAACAAAAAAGAAAAAACTTTGATAACCAACTCATTTATGCATAATTTATTTAGTCAGCTCGGTGTTTGGCTTAAATATTGAGACCTCTTTGTATACAACACTGATTACAGCTCACCAAGTTACAAAATTTCTATATCTAAAATTCAAAAACAAAAAATAGAGAACATTTTTTTTCTGTAACATTACAGCACCAAGCAGACATAAAGAATTTATGTGACTATGTACTGTACAATTTACGAAACACTTTCAGTTATACTTTGAGGCATATTGATGTTTCTCAAGATATTGACATGGTTTCTGCGACTGCAGTGCAACTGTGAGTAGTCAAATGCTTTTTGTGGGTATTCATGGAGAAATAATCTTTTAAGATACTTAAACTGCTTTTGACAATATTTGGCATACACAAAAAAAACTAAAGTACAATATTTTTAGGAAATACTGAATACTTTTTAGAAAGTTGTTTTAAGCAACTCTGACCTCTACTTTACTTTCAACTTGTAGTCAAGCTTCCACATTCTAAGGTCATCTTTAGTAATATTTACAGTTTATTCTGCTACAGTATCTCAGTCTCCAGTAATCCAGAAAAACCTGCGATGACCAAATACAAACATTCAGCTATTTCTATCATGAACCTTTTGGACAGAAAGATCAAATGGAAGCAAGAATGCATAAAGAAATACAGTCATGTGACATGACAGAAATGGCACTTATTGTGATAATGAATTTCACACATGTGGACTTTGGTTCATATTGCATGCTTGTGTGTTTTCATATTCACCATGTGACAAGTAAAAGCAGAACAGATGATGATGGACAAAACAAGGGAAGTTTTGAATTTCGTTTCACACTGTAAGACCCAATGTCACAACATTTCCTTTTCATGGTGTAAAGTCTTTTTTTCACAGTATTTTAGACTTTCATCCTCAATTTTTTAATTTATTTTTTTAATGATTTTTTTTTTGGTACAAGATAAAAATGAAGGCCTAATGGGTTGGATTGTGATATGTTTTTAAAGAAAGACAACACTCCTCAAACTCCTTAAACTTCATACGCATTTTTAAAACAGATTTTTCTTTTTTAAACTGGATGCTTATGGTATAGCCGGAAATGCAGGATTACATTATACTGAGCTATTAAACCTGTCCTACATGCTGGATGTTTTGGTACAGTAAATGGAAGATGTAACTAGGAACATCTTACATTTGCCAAAATGTCCAACATGTACAGTATTTGCTGATGTGTCTTGTCAAATTGTTTGGACTGTTAGAGGGCAAATAAAACAGACAAACTGATACAGTACCTATCATATATGAAACTGCTGTCAAACTGTGTATAACAGCAGCTTGAAGGTGCATAAATAGTTATTACATTAGCTATTACAATAGCTATTAAAAGACTTGATCATACTGTTTTAATGCCCAAGCAGTAAAGGGACCATTTTAAGTTCTATACTGCTTGCCACAGTATAATAAATATTTAATGTGCCTTAAACAATATCTTTTTTTTTCAGATGCTGCAATGGCGAGAAATGCAGTTTAATAAATTGTCAGCAAAATAATACAGCTCCTTCTCTTTAAATTAATGTAAAACCTAAGGGTGCTCAATCTAGACAACATAGACATTAACAATAACACAATCTGGTTCTTAAAAAATCCTAATTCATTTTACATTCTCTCCAGAGGGAATGAGAAAGGAGTAGGTTGCATTCAATTTCAAAACTGTTTTGACTGTTTTGAGATCACAACCCAAAAGGCCTAGATATACAGTATAGATGTGCTGAGTGGCTACCTCTCATTTCTCTCATTTACAAATATTCTTATGTGATTGTAAATCATCTGTATCATTCTCATTAAAATAAATCTGTTAAGGACAGAAAAGTGTAATTTACAAAACATATACTAACAATGAATTCAGGAATATGCAGCAATAGAAAATAACTCACTGGAATATAACCTACCACATATTACGTAGCCTATATCTAACATAAAACACGTCTTGATTTAATGAAGCGCTTGTATTTCTTTTGTAACCTTAACTCTGAATTCTAATTTTAGAGATTAATTTAATGTTAACCTAGTGGGTTATTTTTCAGTGGGATATTTATCAGTGAGCTTTCTCCATTCTCAACTAATAACTGCTACCTGTATCAACTGGATACAGGTATCAATTGAAAAGGTATTTTTTTTACTGTTTGTGTGCACTTAAAATGCACAGTGCTTTATAGTTACAGTACATATCTAAATAGCTTTAGCTCTATGGACAGTTTAAAATACAGGGACATTAATTGCAATGTAACTACATGACAGGTTAATGTGCAATGTACTGTAATGTACTACACTGACAATTTGTTTCCATAAATTAGGGATCACTGATACTAAATCTTGTAAATGTTATATTATGTTGCAGCTGTTATGTAATGGTTACCGCTTCCTATATGACAGTAATTAATGCAGCTTTATTTTTAAGTGTATGCCAATTTCCAAATGGAAGCTGTCATTTTCATTTTTAGATTCTGGGATCAAATGGCATTGTTTTAATATTACTCATTGCTATCTACTAGTTAAACTTATATTTATATACTGTATGTAGTGTATATTTAGTCAGACACAATGTTATAACTAAATGTTATGCCCTTTGCCATCCAGATTCAAAAAGTGCAACTCATTAAATCACTAGTAATAAAAAATTGGTATCCCTTGCATCACAGCTTTACGATAGACATGATTATGGTTTTATGGGAAAGAGTAAAGAAAAATCTGATTTCTCAGTTGCTTGCGTCACGCAGAAACACCTAGGCCTTTAACATGCATCCACTTGAAAACTAAACCTAGCATATGACTAAAGGTATATATGTTTCATACATAAAATACAAATATTTAAATATATGATCTGTTATATTTACAATATGTACAGTGCATGGTTTAGCTGCTTGCTGTAAATTAGTATTTGTTTCATCTGTTATTGACTGTACTTTTCAATTCAGTAACTAGATAATTCGTATTTCTGTATTTTGGGGGTTGGATTCATTATCTGTAAATCTAGTTTAGAGGGGCGTCTGCAACTTCAAATGTTTCTCCTCAGCTTAATGTTAAAAAGAAATTCATACAGGTGCTTCCAATATCAAAGACTGAGTTGATTTCTATACATAGGGCCACTGGTTAGCTATGAAAAAGTCTTAACTGTTTAATAAAGAAATTCATATCAAACTTAAGCAAAGTAGTAAGCTACAGAAGGATATAGTACTGCACAGAAAAGGGCAGGAATAAAACCAACTAGAATAACTAGTCACAATCTGTTAAATCATATCAATAACTCAGTTTTTCCATAGGTGGTTTCACATTTTAAAGAATGTACAAGTTGCTTACACATTCCTGCATACCAATTAGCGATACTATGTAAACACCACAATAAGGGAAAAGTAACAGGTACTAAAAATACTAAAAATAATCCATATTTATTGTGCTATCAGTTTAAATGTAGTGACAGAAACATCTATTATTAAAATAGAGAAGGATCTTGAACAGTTCATTTATATAAGATAAAAAAAACATGGGACCTAATAAATTATTATTTTATTGTTTGAATGATTAAATTAGGAATAACCAGTGAAATGTGAAAAGGCACTGTTAGATGGTAACTATGTCTTTCATATTTGAATTAGAATGTGTATCAGAATGCAGTATTCTGATCTAGAAACAAGGTCTTCATAAATCAGAAGGAAAGTGAAGTCATTAAAAATGGTTTTCTCTGGGATGTGTTTATGTACTTAGAAACCAATATTTTTGAAATAACTTTCTAATGACTTTGTTTTATAACTGCTCAATAATAATATACACTAAACAATAAAACATAATACCAATTGAATTCTACTGATGATGATTAAAAGTTTAATATGCAAACTCTTTTCAATGTGTACAGAATTTTAAATATTTCTAATTAACTGATACTCATCATACTTAGGGGAGATGGCAGGGCTAATTCTGACTTCAGTAAAGCAATACACTAGAAAAAAAAACGATTAACCCATGACAGATTGTTTGTAGAAAATGATACTGCAGAATATCTTTATTCCTGCAATTAGGTAAATGCAGTAATAAGTGCCTAATTTTTCAACTTTACTTACTGTTTTTTTTTTCAAATCAAACTGAATTCTTTGTCCTTATTATAATGTGCTCCATCTGTTTTTATTCATTATTAGAGTTCTATGCTTAAGCCAATAACGTACATTGTATTAGAATATTAAACAAGTAAAGGACAGCCAGAGAACACTGACAAATGCTACCTAAGTTCTATTCAATAATGATTAATATCACATTCTGCTTTCGTTCTGGAGAATCTTGACAGGAGATGACAACGCAAACAGGCATGATTATAGAGCTTTAATGACTAAAAGACACAGCTGGCTGCACAGTTGATATACATGTCTTACCTACATCGAACCCATTAGCTTTCTTTGTTTACATCTTCCAATTTAATTTAATTTCCAATTTATCTACCCCAAGAGAAACAGCATAAAAGACTGGCTTTCCCTTTCATTTTTTTCAGGGTGGTACTTTTCCATGTTTGAATATTTGAGCTCAATCATTAATTTTTTATGTTAATGTAATGTTTCGTATGAGGGTATTTTTATGTTGACCTTCCACAGAAATCAATAATAAGTATCCTTAAAAGGAGACAAAACAGTTGGTGAGCACCATGAATGTACCCTCAGGCCACCGTATAAAAATGATTGCTTTATGACAATGATCCCTTGAGGGTTTGATGATGAAATATATGAAACCATTTTGTGGTCAGCAGTAGGTGAACCCTGTAATTTAGGACCCAAATGGACCATTTTCTGTATAGATATGGTTAAGAAAAAAAGCTAATCTCTGCCTTTTTGCTTGAACTGAAATCCTTGTATGGCATGCAAAAACGTACTCTGGTCCACAATAAATAAATACCCTGTCAACAGCATAGATATATCTGTATTAAATTATAGTTACTGGTGCTAATTTGTTCCTTAACCCGTAAGAATATCATTGCACATATAATACCTGCAAGTGAATTGACCTCTTCATGCAGCAATCAGGAGAAAAAGGACATTTAAAATATGCAATAAAATATTACCAGACTAAACCTTGCTTTGCTCAGCCAGAACAGCCTTTCACATAGTAATACTGACACCCCCAAAACAGCAAGAAAAACAAGAAAAGCAACAGAAATGCCCATCAATATCACAGTGCACTACAGAGCACACCCAGAATGGCACAAATATTGAAATGATTAGTACTTTGTCTTCCATTTAAGATCCTATTTGTTGACTCAGTCCTGCTAAGAAAAATGATGCTGATGTTGCTTTTCCTGAAAGGCAGAGCCTACAAGAAAACAAAAGAATTTCAAAGAACATGAGAACGCAGGTGTTTCGATCAAGGTTTTTGCAGGTTCCAAGGATCTGTGGTTTTTGTAGCAGTAGTACAAGGAGCAGTAGTAGTAGTTGCAGTGGCGATACAGTAGTCAGTCAGTCTCGTGTTTACAAATCAGTAGCATTCCAAATTGCAACTGGTCCTTTTCTCTTTGAGTAGTCATTATGAAGTTATTTGCAGTATAGTGCTTCTCAAAAAAATAAGGTGGTCCTTCTAAAAATTTCTATTTCTTCTATTTTTTGAACGGCGTTAACCTGCTGAAATTTTGCCAGAAAGGTGACTGGCTCCTTTTGGGTTCGTTAAACTCGAATACCTGGGACTGAGCCATGCCGTCATGTACCATGTACTGTCCTTGACTCATTGGATCCTGGGGAGGAGGGTAAGCAGGAGGCATGGACCTATTTTGGCTCACACCTGTATATGAGAAACAAACAGAGATGGAGTAGATACACAGAGAAAGTGGTAGATTATGACTATATTAACATTGTTCATTGAAACCACATACTGTATATTGTATTATACCCTTAAAAATATTCAGCAATATACAGTAGTATTGAAACGCTTTACCATTTGAACACGTATACTGGCAGTGTTAAGCAGGAGGTAGGATTGGTGAATGAATGGACTGAGGACAGGTGTGTACACCAAGGCTAAAACTGAAAAAACAAAGTACATCATAGAAATGACATGAGTGAGACTGACTAAAGTAAAACCTCTGTCATGATAAATGACTGTTGTGTCTGCTTTGCTCCAAGCAATTTTTCAAACTGTGATCTAAAAGCTGAGACACCATATTTCATGCACTATTGGCAATATCAATTAGCCAAACTTGTCTTATGTTTTCTATGTGTTAGGAATTGCAGAATTGTTTGCAGAATTGCAGAATTCAGAATAAAACAGTATAGCAAAATAGAGTCCTGTAGCAGCATACCTTTACTCTATCTTTTTCTATGTGATTTTTAAAAATGCAGCTTTCCTAAACACCATTTTAGTTTTTAGCAGTCCTGACTCATTACAATGGGCAGTTATAACATCTACTGTAGCTTTCCAACTTCCACCTATTTCAAAATGTTAACTACAAATACCTTTCTGGTATGTTATGTGCATAACATTTAAAGCCTGCTACATTTTGTTTCTAGGTAGAGTGTAGTATAGTTGGTAGATCTTTAGGTAAAAACAGGTGGGTTGTGTGTTCAAGTCTCCGTGGCAGACTTTCTATTGTACCATAAGTACAGTTCTTTACCACAGTCCACCCAGCTGTACTAAAGTGTACCAGCATTGCTGGAGTAATTCTTGGGATGGATCAGCATCCAGTTCAGGAAGGGATTCATATGCTCTCTCATCTGTTTAATGCCAGGATAAGCTCTAAGTTGATACAGATCGGATATGGAAATGACAACCTAAAACTGTTTTATTGTGAAAGATATTCAGAAAATATGTCTTAAATCCACTTTTTAAAAAAAAAATCTGCTTACATTTTATTTTAATAAACATTTACTGTATATCAATCTGACAAAACAGAATGAAATACTGTAATCCAAAGAACACTGCTGCTCTAAAAAGGGTGTATTTAGTCCCATGCACAACTTTCACGTTTTGTTGCTTTTGTTAAAGCTTGCAGTCACGACACGTCAAAATCACAATTAGTATTTGTTTTATGCACAGCTTACCCCAAAGATTCAATCTAGAAAACAAAAAGTACAATTATAATTCAATTTTCCAAAGACAAATGTTAGTCATGACTGCATAAGTATTCAAAGCCTTTGCTGTGGCAAATCTAAATTAATTCAGGTGTACAAAATCACCTTAATGAGCCACACAATTAGATGAGCTGCCTCTGTTTGCAATAATAATAGTTCTCATGATTTCAGAATAGAAACACCTGTCTCTGTGAGGTTCCTTGTTCAGTTAGTGAATTTCAAGCAAAGACACAACCATGAAGACTAAAGAGTTTTCAAAGAAAGTTAGGGATAATGTTACTGTAAAGCACAGATCAAGAGAAAGGTACAAAACACTTCAAAGACCCTCTTTGAGCATGGTGAAGTCAATCATTCAGAAGTAGTAGACACCAAAGACAGTGACAAAATCAGGATGTCCCTCCAAACTGAGCAGCTGGGCAAGGAGGAAACTCATTAGGTTTATGGGGCCAACAGTGACTTTGAAAAAAATACAGTTTAGTGGCTGAGATGGAAGAAAGTGTCCATGATTCAAGGATATCCTGGTTACTCTACAAAGGAGACTAGTGTGAAACTGAAAAAAAAACATCTAAAATCCTGCATCCTGCTGGATTTGATTTGCAGGAGACTGCAAACATCTGTGGTCAGATAAGAGAGTAACATGGGTATTTTTGTCCATAGAAATTGGTCATATTATTAGTTGGAATGTATTACTTCTGCATAATATTTGTTTTTGTGATTAATGTTTCACTGTTTTCTATTTACAATTGATAAAATATGGCACAGTATGCATCACTAAGAATAAGATTCAGCAACCTTTAGTTTCAGCAACTGGTGACTTCTCCCTCAGCAACAATTACTTCAGCTTGCCATTTCCTGTAACCGTTAATCAGTCTCTCACATCAGCTTTAAAGAATCATGGCCCATTTTTCCTCACAGAACTACTTCAAGTTGGCGACATTTGAGAGTTTCCTCAATCTAGATTCTGTTCTTGTTTTTCTTTTTATTAATGCCTTCTGCTAGCAACTGACATATTATCTTATTTATGAGTGAGCATTTATAGAGTCCTTTCCATTACTATGTTTGGCTGATGTTGTTTTCTTTAACTTCCATATAGTAATAAGTAAGTAAATTCCATAAGCGAATTTCTCCTGGTACCATAATTTGATGAACAGGGGTAAACAAGATATAACTTATAATGAAATGTTTGAAATGTCTTCAGTCCCAGTTTCTTACAGTAATATACAGTACATGGTGAATTAGGCAAAATCTAAAGATTTTAATGTCATTTTAAGCACAATTCAAATGTTCAGATTTTCACAGAAAATAATATCAATGGATTTAATAGGACTTAGGGTCATGAAAAACCTCAAACTTTTTGTTCTGTAAAAAGTTGGTAAAAGAGAGTATGTATGTGAGATATTAAAAGACAGATAAGAACATTTTATAGCACGCAAGATATAACGTGTTCATAAATAAAAAGACACACTAATAAAATCTAAAGTGATAAGAAGAAAGGCACAAAGGATCACCTGGTGTCTCTTTGTTCCCTCACCTTTCTGTTTAGTCACTTTTCGCACTGTCATGGCAGCTTGTCGCTTCTGATACTCTGAAATTTCAAACCCTGAAAATGTAAACGAAAGAGTAAAATTACTAAAATTCTACAGATCTGTTTTAGGTCGTTCTGAAAAATGCAATGACAAAATGTTCTCCAGCCAATTAAATAATTTACACAGTATAAACATCCCTAGTCAAAATTTGATCACTTTAATTTTTTATGCTGTGTGCCATTCTTTGAAGTTCTAAAAAGCAAGCAGAAGAGGAGGCTGAAATGTATTTATATATTTTACCAACCAAAGCTCTACTACTGGTATATAGGAAACAAACTGCAAATCTAGGATAAATTGAAATATAGTATTATTAACTGGAGGAAGTACCAGGGTTAGCTACCTGGTAGTATAGTATCTTGATTACGTGAAAAGTGAAAAAATAGGTTTTATTTTCCCAATATTGAAATATAAATAAACTAGGATTAATGTACAGGGATGTAATTGGATTTATTAATAAATTATTCCTTGAATATATATCATTGCACCCCAATGAATACAAAATTAGTCACATATTTTTGAAGAGTAAAACTTTAAAGAAATTTCCTATTAGAAATTAATGAATTCTGAAATCTCACTAGGTATTGATGAACTTGGAAATGTCTGCAAAAACTAAAACCATTCTCTTTCATCATTTAAAATTCAAGTACTTGGCAAGAATATAATGAACTCATAGAACAAAATGTGAAAGATATCATCAGTATCTAAAGCCCATAAAACATGCATGCATTCAAACAGATGTACTGTATGGATTTATTTGGGAAATTCTAAGTACCACAATATTAAGGACTCTGGAACTTCTAGTGGGTCACCCAAGAATGGTAGAGCAATCGAATTTGCCAACCAAGCGCATACTGTATTGGGTTTTTTTCTTTGTAGGAAATACAAAACAGACAACGCACCTATCTTTTCATCTTCTTGTACCATTTTCCTTTCTTCATGGAAAGCTCTGAGCCACCTTAGCTTCTCCTCAAGCTTCTTGGCAAGGAACAGGTGAATCTCTTCTGTGTCCTTGTTATGCAGTTTGAAGGAATTCTTGACGCTGACATTAAAATCATCATCCCGACCATCAACTGTATCTATCACTTCATACCTGTCCATGTCGATACGACCCTTGTAGTACAAAATGTCTCTGCGTATCAAGTCCTACAGGAAAACAAACAACATACATCACAAGCTGTCCAAACTGGCAACACTTATCGTTTAGATTAATTTAGCTGCCACAACAACCCTGACATAAACCAGCCAGGGCTTCTTATTTTCTAAAGCATTGCTGATTGAGGTAGTTTATGTAATTGAATTTCTATGCGAAATCAGACCAGTCAAGATTAAGGTTTAAAATACAGAATTATACAATATTATAGAAAATGCAAAGATATTATAACAATGTTATTTTGTCTTTTCAAACATGGCAATAAAAAACTACTGTACTGTGTTATATCGTTTCACACGTTATTCAACAAGTACTGCTCTCAAAAATAGAACTTTTACTTACGAAATGTATGAATTTTCTTGTCAGAAGTCCCACAATTCTATATTTCACCGTGTAAATTTGTTAACAGCAATCTGTTTAATGTCAGCAACTTGTCTCCAAATCCTATACCCGCTTCATTTTTATGTTACTACTAATTTGCCAAGAGTCTAGAATTTGTTAATAAACTTAATCTCTATTCCCATGGCCTGGCAGTTTTGTACTGTAAATGTTCTTCATCTTCTTTATTAAAGAAGTGTAATTAAATAGGTGAGATGAAAGAAATGCATGAAAAATCAACAAGAATTCAACTTGCTCTGCTCCAGGTACCTCTGGCAATCAGCTAAACCTTGATGTTTGAAGACTAGGCAAAAAAAAAACACAATTTCTTTCTAGGAAAAAAGCTAAAAATCTGAATTAACACAACAAGTACATTGAACAAAAACCTCAGTTCATCTGTCAAATAAGATACAAGTTCATAGGAAGGATATTAAATATTGGTGATGTTAGAAAATATTTCTGCAATCATACGCACAAGCAACAGAAATTCATAAGCATGTGCGAAACTGCTCACATGGGTCTTTACAGCAGCTTCTTAGGAAAGTTTCTGAGAATTAGTTCTGGTAACTGGATTCTCTCACATCGTGAGTAATGTACTGTTATGATCAAATTAAACAGCTGTCAGTCCGCAATTCCAATTCAAAGGCACATCTGAGTTCGCACTATTACTGGAAGTTACCTATCATAAATCCACAGACAGCACCAGAATCCCCCACTGTTAAGAAATGGACCATGTGGACTTTCCACTCCACCTGACAATGTCATGACCAATCACCACAAATCATTACGAGTTGTGCACCACATTCTATGCTTGCTCTCAAAAATCGTAGCAACTTGACAGCAATATTATCAGTTAACTTTGAGTACCACTATCTACGATACCAAACTGCTAAAGCAAAAAGACCACAGCTAAAAGAAGCTCCCAGGTTGGGAGAGAGAGACTGTAGAGTTTTTTTTAGATAAGAGCCCCACTATGATTTCATCTCATCATCAGAAGAATCCAAAATAGGACTTTTTTCCATATACACTAACTGAATATCAACACGCAGCACAGCAGTTACAAAGTATGCGCAAGCAGACTTTGCCAGTTTCTCACCTCACAGTCAAACTCCTAATCCATGTTCCATTAGAAGACCCAACTTAAGCAGACCTTTAAGAAGCTGAGCTTTTCCCTTTCTCTGCATCAAAAAAGACATCCTCTTAGAATCGTGGCCAGTAGGCCACAATAGGACAATCTCTCTGCAGGGCTTTCAAACCTGATCAGAAAACAATGCCTAGCCAGGCATTTTTTGTGAGAACCTGAAAAGGCCTACACTAAAGCCTCTTGGACTTCACTTCACTGATCAGTGTGAGTTTTCATGTATGCAGATACCTGGGGCTTCCATGGTTAATGCTATAGTCTGTCATATTGTTGTTTATATTTTGAGTGTCATGACTGTTCACAATCAGAATCCAACCCTATGCAACTCCCACAAATGACCCCCCATTGTTCCTAATCAGACTCCAGTCTTATCCAATTCCTGCAAATGCCATCGCATTAACCAATCAACCAATCAGACCTTTCCTTCATCACCGCACACGCTACCTCCCAGAATACTTAAGCCCTCACCACCTTTACCACAATGCTCAGTATTGGTTTCAGCAAGTGGAGCTCCTCATCTCTGTTTTGAGATTTCCTCACTTATTACTTGGCTTCCGAACGTTTGGCTTCCTGACCAGTGAACCTGTCTTTGACCACGACTCTTGAACCATGATTTGGATAAGTACACTCAGATTTTCCTTCTAACTCCCCTTATTTTAATTGAGATCTACTAGTCACCACATTGGGTCCTATAATTCATCTGGTTTTTAAAAAGGTTCATTTAAAAAGGTTGACACTCTCCTGAACATTAGAGTCAACACTTTTAACAAAACATTAGTCAGGTTTACCTATATTATTGATGTGATCAATTGTGGCATGTGTTCTTTTAGTCCTTTTTGTGTATTGTTAAATGTTCATATTCCTAGTAATCATAACAGTGCTCTTGGAATTAACTAAATGGATCCCATTTTTAATTGAATAAATTCAAATAATCAATTCACTGCAGAAATGTCTGGACATTTTAAACTACCAAGTGGAATAACATATCTGCTGATAAGGCACTGCTCTGAAGAAAACAAGAACACCTTCATTATAGCCCAAGGGATCATTTTTAAAAGGATAGTGTTGAAAAGTTGCTAAAAATAGAACCACAAAGACACCTTTCATGCTAAATTATGAAACATGTCAAGCAGTCATTCTTAAGTTAACCACTGTTCAAATTTCATTTGGGCTTGAAGAATTTCTTGGCTTTTAATCTGAACCTCTGGTCCTCCCCTGGCTCTGGTATTCACACAGCAGCTTTCTCCACTGGTGCCTATCTGAAAACTCTTAATCAGAAAAGCAGGTAGTTTCCAGCTGTGGAAATAAATTAATCTTATTAAAAGAACTATGAAAAATACTCCTATAACGTATCCTCATAATTATTAAAAGTTTTCATTTTAACCCTTAATGTAACAGTGTATTAAGTTTGTACTATGAGACAGAAGGAAGAGCATACAGCAATTTTGAGACCTAAATTAATCTATGCAGTATGTCTTTGAAAGGTAGGAGGAAAAACAAAGTGGAAGTAATACAAGTAGACACAGGGACAACATACTGCTCAAGGGTCCCCCAGACCTCAGGAAGTATCTCCTTTGAAATTAGAAGTGTTTACTCTTCCAAGTGTCACAAACTTGGATCTAAAATCTAAGAGACACTTCTCAGTCACCTAAAGCTGTTACAGTACTCATGTATGCAAAGCACATCATCGGAGCGCTGAAACGAGCTGCTACAGGTTGGCTACAAACCATCTACCATAGACCTTGATGGGCGAAGAAACATCCTGCACCTACAAAAACATTACTGTAAAAATCCCTCTCTCCTCATCAGCAAAATCTATTGCAAATCACTGGCAAACAGGCTTACAGCACGCTGCTCGCCATACAAAACCACAAGGGCCTTCCGACAACAATAAATTAGCATGAAAGAGTGATGGCAAGCTGCCTAGGAAAACTCCACTGCCCAAAACAAATTTCTCATTACTGACCCTACTGTCGAACTACCAGGTCTTGACCTCAGCTGATATCAGTGGTCAAAATTTAATTGGATACTACTACTGACAGTTTTCTCCACTGAAAAATGAAGTTTGCCACTTCAGGAGACTATGGTCATGAAAATCTAACTATTCAGCACTTTACTGCACAAAGACTACTAAGGGAGGTTGCAGTTACATGACAAACATACATGTACAGTACACAGCATTTCTCCAGAAGCCAGAATGTGGCTCAAAAATGTTTGATATTGAGATTGCCAATAGTCAACCCCCAGGATATAAAAAGTACTAATACAGGAGGTACTAATTAACTTAAACTTACCTTTTTGCAGAGGACCATTTGATGATCAAACAGAAAGAAAACCCTTTGCTGACTCCTCCCATATGGCTGGTAAATCCAGGACATCTCCCCAGTGTATATCAACTCAGAACTCCGGTCCAAAATATCATCACCCTAATCAGAAAAATTAATCCAAAATACAAGCAAGTTTATAAACTACACTGGGGCTATTGATATCATCATTGTAATCATTACATTTACAGCACTGAGAAGACAATTCATAAAAAAAAACAAACTTCTGAGATACATGTAGCTTCTTAATTGACAAATTGAGAATCACTTCAATTTGTATAATGCTCATTGCATGTCTGGGAAATTTTCGACCGAATCAGTGTATGGCTGCAAGCTTGTGGCTGTTTTGTTGGGTGGAGTGGTGGCTCTGTGGCTGGAAGGTTGCTGGTTCAAATCCCGTGGCTGGCAGAGAAATCCTACTCTGTTGGGCCCCTGAGCAAGGCCTTAATCCCAGCTGCTTCAGGGGTGCTGTATAAATGGCTGACCCTGCGCTCTGACCCCAAGCTTCTCTCTCCCTGCCTGTCTCACAAAGAGCAAGCTGGGGTATATGTAAAAACAAATTCCTAACGCAAGAAATTGTTTATGGCTAATAAAGTGATCTTATTTAAAATGCATCTCTTTTCCATTGCTTTATCAGCTATAATTACTGTGTGCATCCAGTATGAGCCAGCTGTGTGTTCATCTAGGACCATCCACAGAAAACCTCAACGAGAAATGTCTTATTAAAAGCACACTTGTTATCTTCCAGGAAAAGTCTATCAGACATTATTGTGCATTTACAAATATCTGGTAAAGATTTTTATCTATAAAAGGTTAGAATGACAGTCAAATGCCAAAAAATGTCAGACTCAAGTTCCAGTGTTACAGTCTTAACCTCTCATGACCAACGGATGAAAAGGTCAGGAGCTGCACTGGGGTGTACATTGAAAAATGAGTTGTTCATCAACTTGGTTGTAAACCAGGACTGACTAAAGTGGATGCAGTGTCTGCCGCAGGACATGTTAGAATTTCAAAACCATACAAAGACAGCATGAGATAGAGAAGTGAAATTAACCAGGGACCAGATCACAAACACAGGAACATCCATGCTATTGGGGAACATGTCAATTTATGTCCATTTATTAATGTATATTTAGCCTGATTTATGAAACAGTGTTATGACATTTGGGAGTATTTAACTATTACTTAAAAACTATGTAATTGATGTCCCTGAGCAAGTCCCTGAGCAAGTCTCAATTATGTGTGATTGCTAACCAAAAATGAAAACAGATCTGTACAAGTCTATTGAAACAAAGGAAAAAATACAGAGATACAGTGGTTTATCTGTTACTACACAAACAAAAGCTACTGTAGTTTCTAAGGGTAATTTCTCTGTTCGGATTTACCACGTTGATTCACTAATTTCTGAAACAAAATTACATATTTAATAAATGCAGTCTTTATGTATAGTATTACAAATGTTACTATTAGTGAGCTACTTTTATTATAGAGGGAAATTTCATTAACAAAATATTTTGACAGAAGATTTTCTCTGGTGGAAACTAATAGAAAATTGTCATGATAGCTGTGACAGGCCTTTTATACTTGTGCAGAGACACTGTTAATTCCAACTGAATGATTCAACCATCATAGGTGGATTTATTCACAGCAAGTAACTGTGGTTGCTTTCAGTTAAAGATGACTTTTACAAAATTTCAGGTATGCTTAAGTGCCAGTGAGAATCAAATGTTTTAGAACCTTTGTATTAACCTGTGTATTCAGCTATTTGGGTTAAACTATGAGAACTTTGGAACCTGCTTACATCTACAGTTTCCATAGTCTAACCCAGTGGTTCTCAAACTTTTTGGACCAAGTACCACCCCTAATCCAACCAAAGCATCCAAGTACCACCTACAAGTCATCATCTCATAGGAACCCCAGAAATTCTCCTGACCAACACGAGCGCGCGTGCACACACACTCACACATACATATAATAAATATTATAATAATAAACTTTATTTGATATAGCGCCTTTAAAGGTGGCTTCTCAAAGTGTTTTACAGAAAAACATAAACGAGCAAATTGGCCAAATCGACTACAGACTCAACTAATTGCAGTGAAAAACATCTGCTCATCTTAACGCGCTCTATCAGTGTACTTTTGATATAATCCTTCATTTCAATAATTCTATGAATGACTGTGTCTTTCAGGGGGAGGGGGGCAGCAGGTCGAGCTGTTTAGCAGCTTTTTCTCTACACATAATACGTGTCAGCTCTTTTGATAATGGTAAATAAGGTTCTTCAAAAATAGTGCAGCTAACCTGCTTTAGCATTTTTCCGCGTTTCCGTTTTTATTTCTGTATTTATTTAAAGTTTTTTATTTCATGCGCATGGGAGCGAAACACAGAGACGCTCGGTGTATTTTTTTTTCAAATTAGAACAGTTCTTAAATATTTTTCTGTTATCGCTTTCGTGTGCTCACAAGATTACCTGCGTTCGTAGCACGTATTTCTATGCATTCCTGTGTTTACAACGTTAGCATTGTTCCAAAATCACGCACATTCTCCTTTCTCCCTATTTGCTGGAGATACAGTAGCTTTTTTAAATACAATTGGTCACTTGCATCCGTAGCATGCATTCCTATAGAGTGGTATAGACTTACAGAGTATCTCTTGTGTCCACTGAGGTATTAGCGCGCACTGTATCGTAGTACGTAGGCTGCGTATTCGACACGTATTAAAATACAAAATATGAAAACCTGTCCCGATTTTTCAGCGCACACGACTCAGTTCCAGGGTCATTTGGCGTACCACTTCGCAGTGCTCCACGTACCACTGCCGGTACGCGTACCAGTTTGAGAACCACTGGTCTAACCCTAGCCCGTATCTAGTGCAGGCACTCCTAGATAAAAACGACATGATTGTGAATATTTAATGTCCTTCTTTTAAATGTGTTAATCTCAATTGTGGAAATTCTATTCTATTTATTAATAAACTCCATCCTACAGAGCCATCTAAACAGGTCATCCATATTCATAGTTGAAGAGCTACAGGGAGCGATATAAAAATTATATTTAATCTTTTCATATTTTGCACTGATGTTTTAATAACCACTTGAGCTTTAACAACTAACATTTTTGGTTTAGCATTTTAAATTAGTATCAGTCCTTAGTTGCAGGACAACAGAAAAGCACAACACATTTAAGTTTCACAATAACACATAAAGCATAGCAGTTGGGGGAATATATGTAAGTATTTTTGGTTTTTTCCTTCTATGTCTCCTTGTAAACAATACAAGCTGTACGTTAGCCACCCTAAGATAAACACACATTAAGGACTTTAAAAACCAGTTTCTTTCTATACTTGTATTAGTGGAATAGAATATTTGAAATCCCCTGCCATATTCTGCTTCTGATTATCTAAAGCTTTTTTCTTATTTCAAGACAAAATCAAAGGTTCTTACAAAATGCCTTTTCCATCCCTTTAGATAAAATAGTGCTTACAAAGTGTTTTTCCATTCTACAAAGTAAGTCATAGACCATTTTTTGTGTAGTACTTAAAAGGTTCTAATTAGACAAATGTCCCACAAAATCTGTTGGGTTTGTATAAATACCTCACACTACATTATGCTCTAGTGATGTAAAATGTGCTAAAAATATACTTTAGTCCCTTTGGCTATCGCTGGGCTTCAAGGATTACATTTTATCCATTATAAAGCAAAGCCTTCCTTTCCTCTCCTCCATATTTCCAACAGTACATAATATAAGCTATGAAGAATAAATTGAAATGTTACAAGGAGAGCCAAAAACAAAGGTTTAGAATTTCAGAAAAACAAACCATGAATGATAAAAAGCCTTAGAGAAGAATAATGGGAAAGCATAGGCTGAATGCCTTTCTCTTGTTTGTAAACACTCTGAACATGCCTTCAAAAAATGATGTCTTCAAAAAATTGATTTATAAATAATAAATATGAAATCATAGACTTATATTTATTGTAATTTACATATTTATTGTTGGCCTAAGTAGCATGGTATACAATCCTGCTTTTCACATCTGCTTTCAATCAAAACAATTCCAAAAGCAAGTGTTTTTGCAGTTTGTCAACTTCATCAGGTTTATGTGATGTCAAATCCCAGTCACATATTTAGGATTGGTGTTAATTATCTTCTTCATGAAAAATAAAATTTCTAAAAATACAGAATTACCTAAATTAATAAGTATAACACATTTCTCTCACTGAAATAAACTTAAATGAGATTAGCTGCAATCGTGTTAGTCATTTTTATCTGCCTATTTTTTTTAATTTCATTTTCATTTTATTTTATTTTCCCCAACATATCTTCTCGAATGCCATTCATAAAGTGCTATGCACTTTCTGGTAAAAAAATGGTGCAAAAAGTGATGTAGAGAGATGTGCTGTTTATAGGTATAGCATAATAACATTCTTAGATTTATACAAATCAGAGAATTGATTTTTATTTACATGGGAGTAAGATTTTTAAAAGAAAGGGTTCTTTTTTTTAATAATTCAATATGTACTTCAAAACTGTATTGAATTAGAATATGTCAAAATGTTTAGAATATGCTTCCAAAATAACCAAATCCAAAGTGAACAAGTTAAAGAAATTATGCAGGTATTTATGAAGAAAGTGGAATATAGTACCACTACCAGCTGCACAAATATATTATATTTAGATCTATACGTAATATTTTTAAACACATTCAGAAGTTTTTAATGACCAATATTTTAGTTACATGATTCCATATTAATATTCCCTATTTATAAGGGATTTCAAAAAGTACTACACATGTTTTACAACAATAACTACAGAAAGTATTCATGTAAAAGGTTAAAACATTAAAGAGATTTATAAAATATATAAACTTTATATACTGTAGTTAGAATGAGTATGTCAAAAGACTACCAAAATAACTACAGTAAGTGATCAAGTTAAAGACACTTATTCGTAAATTAATATCATTAATGACATTCAGAGATGTTATTTTTCTTTTTGCTACCAAAGTGTCCCTTTAGTTACAAGATTCCATAATGATATTCCCTATTAAGCGAATTTAAAGAAGTACAGTAGTGAAATAGATTACTTTAATGAAGCAATTGTTTCACTAACATCTAACGCACCACAGGTGCCATCCATTGATACTGTACATTAAATGAAGAGTTACTTAAGTGCAATACACCATCCAGACCTTCCAAACATGATTGAAAGATGTGGATATTTTGTAAGTGACACAAACAACATAAAGGTCTAAAAACAATATACTGTATAATATGATCTTCTTTCTCACAAAGGTCACAAATGTAAGTGGTAAAGGTTTGTCGAGCACAAGGCAAATATTTTTTGGCAAGTCCATTCCGTTTGTCTATCAGATTACAAACATGAACTATTTGTGAAATTATAACAATTTAGAGTTAAAAAGTATAATTTCCCCATATTCCAATATATTAGAGTCACAGCACTGCGTCTGGAAAAACAACCCAGCAGGAGATCACCACTCATTGTAGGCTCCAACATAAAACATGAACAGACAGTGACCAGTACAGAGCAGATTCTTTCTACAGAGATTGTGATAGAAATCAGTCAGTGGGAAGTTAGACAACCTGTAATCCATGAATCTCTGGAGTTGAGTGAGGTGCAACAATTTGAGACCCAAGAGTCCTCGCAGAATGGGGTGGTATAATTTACTTGCCCTAAAAAGGAGGTGAGGTTGTGAAGAAGCCTGTAACCAAAGAGCCTCCAGAGTTTAGGTTGGAATGAACCCCTATGAACCCCTGGAGGTCAGTGGGAAAGAAGTGCAACAATCTGTGACCCTAGATTTCTTGGAACTATAGGAACTACAGGAGATGCAGCTCTTCTTACCAAGACATGAAACTGGTAATGATGCACTTGGGCCCGAATTTCCAATGAGGAAAGGACATGGTGGAATACCACTGCCACCCTGACTTGAGTCTCAAGAGGAGGAGGAGGGATGTGATACAGTGACATTTTTGCTCTGGCCTGGGACTCGGGAGGAGGGGAATGATGAAAGTCTGCAATTGTGTAAGTCTGAACCTCCGACAGAAGGACAGAGGCTGTGTGACCAACTCTTTACAGATTAAGGGGGGAGTGTCACCTGAATGACAGCACTGCTCTCCCTGCAGTTTTTACTGCATGAGGTTGATAATGATACTCTCCCTGCAGGCACCATCCTGGAGGACAATTGTCACCAGGGTGACCCATGAACAGCCTCTGGGAGAAAGTGGGTCCTGGTAAAAATGAAAAGTGACTCATAGCATCCTTCAGTGGGGAGAACCAACAGTGGAAGGCATATGACTCAGTGGGAGGCATATGCAAGCAGTTTCCCTCCAGCCCACCTTCTTTAGGCCAGGTTATCTCTCTCCCTGTTGGTGACAGCTGAGGGAAGAGACATACAGTATGGCAGGCAAGATGTAGAAACACCTGTAATTGCAGCTGGCCTGCCACTAGAGGCTGCTACATGACCTGTAAATTACTTAAAAATAGCCACAGTGGGGATTAATTATACAAATATTGGGCGATTGGTTGAGGGTATAATAATTCACATTCTAACATGGGTGTAGTTAAGTTTTTGTTTGCTATGAAAAGGGGCGTAAACGGTGTTAGCAGTGTTGGGTGTTTGTTTTAGTGCCAAGTTTTTGTTGTTCTTGGCCTGTAAAGGTATAAATAAACTTCCCAAACTGTGCTTCTTGTTGCCATCATGTGTTTTTGTGTAAGCAGACCTAGGGACCACCCTGACAAGAGTCTCTCACAGGTCATACTTATTAAATATGTAACACCAGGTTTTGTGTTATGCAATGTGCATGAGGCATTAATAATTTTATTTTAGTCAAGGATAAGGGAAGATTACATCTGGCTTTGGTGTCCTGTTACATTGTAATTGTGTTCCAAATTCCACCCCCTTGTCCTCACCATGGAAACTGGGCACTGAGTAATGTGCAGTCAGCATCAGCAGAGTGAAGGACATAAAGACTCCTTTAGTCCTAGAAGCACTGTTAGGATTCCAGTTTACTTCATCGTGGAGATAACCACATCCGCATTGGAGGGACAGATGGAAGAAGACATACCAGTTTCAAGATCTCAATGGCTGTTCTGGCAAATTAGAGCTCTTTCTGTAGATGAAGATGTGTGGAAGCCGGTATGCAACTTCCCAACTTCCCTACAACACTAAATGTATCTTTTCTGCTTGAAAAGATGCATCTTGCCACTCACAGTGACTCATTTCTGAGTGATCATAATTGCAACATTAGATTACTTTTATTATTATAATCTGTTGAATATAATGCATCTACATTTTACACAAATCATTCTCACAGCTGCCTCCTTGTAATATGTATGTATTTGGAATAGGAATTCAAATGTAAAGAGTGTGAAGAGTAGAAATGCTGGTGCTTCATTGGGAGCCTGTTCATTCCTTCTCCAAACACCACTAGATCAGATCCTATCTTGATATTATTTTTATGGAACTTTCTACTGCTTGCACAATACTTCTGTTGTAGCTATGAAATTAGTGGGGGAAATCTGATGGCTTTTAATACTAATGTAAAGTGTTTTCCTCTTTTAACTCTTTTAATTATTAGCCCAGAGTTTTGAACTTTTTCTTGATTAATGTAAAAAAAAAGATGTCAGATGCCAAAAATCAATTTTAAAGCATTTTTTTTTAATTTTTAACATAAGGTATTGAGCGCTTTTACGTATCTCAGGCATAATTATATTATGGGATCATTCAATGTAATCTACTGTCTGATGATTAAGGGTATGGTTATCAGCTAATTGAAGAAACAAGGTGAGATTTCTCAAAGCCAGAGAAATAAAAAGGCACTACTCCGTGAAATTACAAAAGTACTGAAAAAATACATTATTTAATCTCTTCAGACAGTTTATTAGAATTACATTTAAGAAATCTTTCATTTCAGGATTCATTTCACAGAAAATACATTACTTTACTTCAACTTAATGTCATCTTATAACTCCTTTTCCAAAGTCAAACTGTTCCTTTTTCTTTCTTATGCCTGCTTTGATCTTAGTATAGAGCCTGTTCATCCATGCAGGAACAATTCCAAAACAGTTTAGATTTCTGAACAGCAGCTGTCTCTGCAGGAATTCTGTTGTACAGTACATTTAGCAAAGGGCAATTAAATGTTGCAGCCAAAAACTGCTTAAGTATAAAACTGTATTAGGTAAAATTTAAATTGCAAATAAAAAGACTCTCAGAAACATGCCAGTTCCTCTTTCAGATGTGACTGTCAGGTCAAACTCATCTCCAGCTGGACATATTTCTCTGCCATTTGAACCAAGTCTGTTAAAAAGATATATTGTGGAGAACAGCACACCTGGCAGCCAAAATATTCATACAAAATATCTATCATTATTTATTTGAAGAAAAGATAGGCCCCCATATGTTCACGATTCAAATTGAGAGCTCCTGCTACACAGTACATTGGCCCAAATCCATTTTTCAAATGTAGTTTATTAAAGGATTATATACAGTATATTAATTATTATTTCAAGACAATAAGAAAGGTTCATTGCCTTTCAGTTACCATTTAATAGCCTTGGTCAAAACGGGTCACAACTCCAACCTCTGTCTCAGAACAAGGGAGGGATTATACTATAAAACACACTTTTCTATTACATAAACGCTATCATGTACTGTAATTTACTGTAAATGTTATACACTTGAAATTTCACTGGAGAGTTTATCCTCTCACATCAATTTGTGGAATGAATATGCTGCAAACTCAGAGGTGCCTAGCCAGTCCCAGGAGTCACACTTGAGGTATAAAATGAAAAGATTCTAAGCTCATCCAACCACAGTGGCACTTGGCCATTTATGTGCCACTATTTGGATAATTATACTTTCAGTCAGCTATCGACACAGCTTAGATGCATCTCATATGCATACCACACCAATCAACCTGTTAGTCTTTTATTTTACCTTTACTGGTTTAATAAACAGTCAGAAGCCCTATTAAAAGCTGACAAACACTATTCATACTACATAGGATTTTTACAAAAGTTATTTGTTTTGAATGCATGTTTCTGTACCAGTTTTTTTTTTTATGTTTCGCTTTTTGCGTTTTCTTGCACAGGTGCCAATAGTACATTTTAAATAAAAAAGAAGTAGCAAAGTGTTTTTTTTTTATATGACGCTTTTATTAGGCATACTAAGTGATTAGCATTAACTCAACCCTCACTCAAGGACAATCATTGGAAAAGCTTATGAAAAGAGTTTGGCCTATACTAAAATCCATACCTCCCAATCCAAGACGGAAGCCTGCCATTGTGCTATCTTGTCAATATTCTCCAGTCTTCTCTTCCGTTCATTTATTTGCTGAGTTACATTTCTCATGACAGCCAATGCTGCAGCCACATACCTATAATCACTGGGAAAAAAAAACAGAATGTCTAAAAAAATGTGTGCAACACAAAAGAAAGTTCATTTCAGAGGAGAAGGGCAGAGTCAGTCCTTTTCTGTCATTACCTGTCAAGGTAAATAAGGTAAATTCTTTCAACCTGAGCTAGTCAGAATTTAAATATACTCACTGTACAACATATTTACAGAATTTACAATAGTTCTCTCTCCTTCACTTATACTGTAGGTAGCTCATCTTCAAGGTTTAAGGAAATAAGGGGACTGAAATGAGTCTTGAAAAATGCCAGGACCAAATAAAACAAATGACAAGGGATTTTTTTATTATAAACAAAACATATTTGAATTACAATGTTCTAACATGTCCTTAGTAAAATTTGTTTAATCTGACCTACTAAGTAAACCCTGTTCTTTTATTATTTGACCTTATATCCAGTCGTACACAATAGATAGATTGAATTTAAGAATTTGGCACTGGGTCTGCAATATATTACATTTTATAACTTGAAAGGCAGTAATCAGATTTACAAATTTTTCAGTTAATATGAATTTAATAGATTTCTTATGTCCTCAAAAAGAGCACGTAAAGTTGAAAGCCAACAGGTCATGAAATCAGTAAAAGCATATTTTAAAATGACATTTAAACTGATATTTTTCTACAGGATGACCAGTGCATTTCCTTTTGGCACAGTAATTTCTTGTCTAGTAACCATGACAACAACCTCCTGCATCACTTCCTGCAGAGAAGGTAAAAAGAAAATAAATTTCTAGCAATAACAATCTCTGTTGACAGATATATTTAAAGTCACAGAGATTTAATTTATGTGGATGCAATAAAAAGCTAGATAATGCACAGCTTAGTAAAGTGTGACATTTTGATGACAAATCCATTTCTGAGCACTTTAAGCCTTAAATGGCAGCAAAACTAGTAACATTTAACACCTTTGTTGTTTAAGTTTATTCTTCCATAGAAACAAGGATATCTTTACTACAACAGCCAGAAAAGATTATCTGGTAAATAATGTATTTATTAGACTGATTAATAAACCTACAGTGATTTCTTTGGTACCAGAAAATTTTAAGAATACTCCAAAAGTATTCTGTTCTTCCAAAAATATCACATTTTTATGAATTACATATATTTTTTTAAACAAACTGTTTCTATCCAAAACTGCAATGCTCAAATTGAACACTGTTCAATATGTGAAACAGGTTTAATGCCAGCAGAACCTGCAAAGATATTAAAAAGTTTAATTAACTGATGGTATGAGTATTCAGCAGATAGATTCCAACCAGCATTGCAAGTTGATGTCAAGTTGATGGTTTTGCTCATTCTTCCTAACAAAATCCCTTAATTTCTGACAAGTTTGTTGGGAGTCACTGATAAACTGCAATCTTTGTGTTTCCACATAAATTTTCTGTTGGATTCAATAAGGACTTCTAAGAATCCCTCTATTCCTGTCAGACCACTTCAGTCTGACTTTGTGTTTGTGCTTCTGGTCATTCTCCTGATGATTTGAATTCAACCCAGTTTCAGTTTCTTCAGTGACTCAAGCAAGTTTTCCTCAAGGATTCGGCTGTACTTTACATCATCCATCTTTCTGTCAGTCTTAACAAGCTTTTCAGGCTCTGCTGATGTGACGCATCCCCAAAACATGTAAATGCCACCACTATACTTGACAGTTTGGATGGTGCTGATTGCATGATGTGCTACACTGGGCCTGTGCCAGACAGAACCCTTTGTATTTAGACCACAAATTTCAAATTGTTTCTCTTCTGACCATAAAACCACATGTCATCAGTATCTCTCTAACAAGAGTTAAGATATTATTTTTTAGTTATAGCTTATTGCCTGTTATTCACCCATGCAGGCTCTTTGTGTAGGAACCGTGATATTGTGAATGCATAAGAGTAGCTCTCATCTCATCTTTTAAAATCTTTCAAAGTCACTGATGGCTTCATAGTTATAAAACATCCTTATCTGTACATCTTTACCATTGTATTCCTTATTTGGTTCAAAAGCCTCTTGGTTCCCATAGTCAATTTGTCATATCACCTTGTGAGGTATTGTTTGAAATCCAATATCTATCGGCAAGACATTACAGAGACTATAACTATAACTATAACAAGTCAGGTTTAATCACTTTGCTTTACTACAAAGACCATTATACTAATTTTGTGATCAACTATTCCTTTTCTCCTGAAATGATCAAGGGGTTGAATACCTCAGCAATGGAGAATTTTTAGTTTTTCTTTAAAAATGTATTTGGGTAATTTCAGCATATTTTGATTTATCAGTTTGGAACAGACCGTGCAGATTATAAAGACTATATAAAGTCCTGTTTGAACATGCCAGATATTTAATTGCAAAGTTCAGACAGCAACAACATGTGATAACATTTCAGGGGGAGTGAATAATTTTGCAACACACTATATAGCAATTACTTTAAAAAAATCTAAAAGATATCATTCTAGACATTACTGTGCATTCGATAATCTCCAATTCACACCTGTAATAACTTACTGGGTTGTTTTTGTTGAGAGATGTATGCTCAAGGTATTTCCTGGTTCAGGCAATTTCTGTTTTAACCCCTAAAATGCTTAATGCTTAAGAACCAGAACAATGAGGCAAGATCAGCCCACTTGCCTCATTTACTCACCTATTGAGATTGTCACGTTAAATTTTTGCAATCAGTGATATCCTGCATAACATTGTGCCTCTATTAAAAGAAGCCATTTCTTGAGATACTATTCAGACTAATTTCAAGCTGGCCTTTAAAAGCTGAGCAGCAGTTGATCCTTTTACATTTTACCTGTAGAACCTGACTGCTCAGAGATGTTTCTAAGGGATCAACGCTCCACGATTTGTTCCATGCCCTTAAGAGTAGACATGTCACCTTTTTTCACATGATACTGGAGAATTCAGATGGGACTGTGCACTAGGGGTGGATTTCTTCATCTTCTCTTCTGGGAAAAAATATTTATTGTTCTTTAGTATTTCTTTTGTTAAATGATGAGTCATTAGATTTCTCTTTGAAGCAGACACGGATTTGTCTCACATTACCGTCGCTACAAGGATGGAAGATCCTCTGCTTAATAAAATGGCGTATTCAGATGCCCTTTGACCATAACAATTGTCAAATCCAAAGGATATTTTTGACCCTAGTTGCTGAGTTTAAATTCAAAAGAGACAACACCTCAGTTTAATCAATGATGCCTTTTGGCCCATTTTTTTTTTACCCTGGGGTGTTTGAGGTCTCAGCCCCCACAGGGAAGAAATAAAGCCCTGACTGATAAGTGTGCAGGAACAAATGATTCTGCAATAAATCAAAATAAATACTAATTTTAAGAAGTACAGAACAGTTCTGTTAGATGAAAGCAGTACATATTATCAAGACCAAAATATAGCACGCATTTCAGTGTTACTGTAAATCATTATAGTGTTTGGTATGGGCTGCTTCCTGAATAAGGGGCAGTGAGCCAGACACCATTTAAAATTAGATGGAGATGGTTTAGCAGTGGCATATTAAATGATGGATTCTGTGAAAAATGTTACTTTCATTTAAAAAAAAATATTAAAACAAGCTATAAAACGTAATCGCTTCCAACTTCAGAAATTTCATTTCATTTTGGTACAATACCCAACACTCCATTTCAAGGCAAAATGTCCGCTGTGAAAAAGAAACTTCTGTGCTGACGCTAATTATGTACTACAAATCTTTAATGTTTTTCCTGTTGATTTAGGAATTGTTTGTGGAGGTTGCTGTGCAGAAGAACATTTTAAATGGGGCACATTTAATTTCATCTTTATATATTTCCTTAATTTTAACCTAGTACTTAATTCTCATCTTAGTTTTAATGCTTCTAAGGAGAAGTATTCTTATCTTATGCATTAGATAAGATAAATGATTGCAGCTACATTTTGTTTTTACATGTACAGTATGCACTGGTAAATTCTTCTTGAGATATTATTTTTTAATAGGCAGGCTTGTAGCTTGTTCCAGTTTTATTTTCTCCGCCTCATTAGACTCAGTCTGAGCCTATGATTGTGTTGTTTATTCCATTTTATCTAAAAACATAACAAATTCCCTTTTATTTTTTGTCTCTACTGAATCTGCCTAGATGCTCCCTCTGGCAAAAACAAAACAACATAACATAGCATCAAAATAGCACTCCCCAATGAATACATGTTTAAATATAAAAGTTCATTTTTCTTTTATTAGATAAAATGGTGCTGGTCTAATTAATTCAAGTAAATGAGGCTACCCATATTATTTGTAACTTTGTTATGTCCTGTATCATTCAGTGGCTTATGCTACAGTTTCTGATATCCCATTTAGAGAAACTCCATACTTTTTATTTAAAATTGACTACAGAAAAATCTTGCTTGGAATAATGAGATTGCTTCTGTGAAGCTGTTCAAATCAACATAATAAGAATTACGTTAAACTATTTCAGTTGACTTTTCTGGGCAAACACATAGTCTTGAAATACACTTGTCAAGCCTGAAAAAAGGCACATGGAAAAAAGTCTGAAACTGTTCTGTTTATGATTTCTACAAATAAAATATAATAAATATAATGGACCAGCCCATTTACTGAGACATACAGTATGGCAACCCTAAATACTGTACATCAAAACCAAATGACACCATTTTGTTTGGTCACTGAGTGATAGTGAGAAAATAGTGATAGTGAAAATAGTGAGAGTTAAAGTTTAGAAAAATGCATCTAAACGGAATACCTTAATTGTATTTTTTTTATTTGAAGAAAATACTGGCTTAATATGAAACAAATAGATACCTTTTATGTCCTAAGACTTATTACATCTAATACAGGTTTTCAGTAAAATTAATATTGTAAAACCATAGGCCACGGAGCAAGATGATTTTTTGAAATCTGCACCCAGTTAAGAGGAGCAATTACAAATGCCAACTTAAGTGAATCACTTAACTTGGTAAAGGTACTGTACTAAGCATTGTCAACATAAGTCTTGAAACATACTTAAAGGAAGATCTTCCACTTCTGACATCTGTGAAAATACTTCCCATGTCATAGTTTAAAAATGATTGTGCTCACTAAAACAGATACAGTGCACCATCAAATACTAATTCATAGGTAGCCTATTGTAAACTTAAAGAAATACATATTAAATAAATTGCTGAGCTGCTGTGCACTGGATATCCAGTGTCCATTGCCAAATCAGTTGCTACAAACTGTTGATTGTAAATAGATGGCAGTATATATGGAAATAACCATGTTTCTCTTACAGCATGATGAAGGACAATTAAGATGCACACACAATGAGCGTTAGGCTGACTGTGCAGTTAAAACCAAAACAAGGGGAAGCAAGTCTTAAATATGTCTTAAATAAGATCTCTTCTTAAAAGAACACCGTGTGTGCAGATCACAGGCCAGCACACCCTACTGAAGTCATTCAGCCCGCAGTTTTTTCATTCCTTCAAGTTAGTTTTCCAACAGGACAACGCAGTACGAGGATTGCAATTATATAGTATTGAGAGAACAATGTTGAGATCTTATCATAGCCAGCTTCTTCTTCTGATATGAGACCAAGTAAAGATCTCTGGGACCAACTTTCCAATGTTGTCAAATGCCGACAACTATAACTGGCCAACTTTCACCAACTGGCTGCAGCTGCAAACAAAGAGTGCAGAACATCTTACAACAACTAATTCAGGGACTAAACAGGTCTGGGCGTAGGGATGCGAGCAGTCAGTGCAGTCCAGTGAAAGTTTGAGATGAGTTTAATTGTAACGAAAATGGCCACTTCAGGAGAACACTGAAGGTGACACTCATGAGGTATATTTCCCACAGTGCCCCGAATTGCAACAGTTGTACAGGTGTTTTTATAGTCCCAGTCCAGCCATTTTACTACCATGACTGGGGGTTAAAGAGTCCACATTCTACTTATGGTCCAGTGACTACTCTTGATTACGTTGTCCCACCTTTCAGCTATTTCTGTGATGTCTCGTATAAAAGCAGATGTCGGTTCTAAAATTCTCTTAAGCTAGGTCAATGACCCCAGGCCAGAGCCAGATATCTACATGGGTATCAGTATTGCCAGGACTGTTTAATGCTCAAGGACATCATTCCAGAATTTTTGTTAATGTTTCTTATTTTATATTCAAGAGTTATGATGAATCTTTGATGAGTATTTGTTTTTTTTTTTTAGATTTCGCTTGATAAATATCTTTACTATATTTGAATAAATCAAATACAATTGAGCACTGCACATCTTTTGCTCATTGCTATATTTCTCACTCCCCCAATTTAAAGCTGTCAATTGTTAATCATCTTGCCTTATTATTACAGCCCATGTCACACAGAGAGACCGAGAACTTGTGAATGCACTCTTCTGATTAGTCCACCTACAAGCCATTTGCAATTTAACACAGTGTGAACTCAACCTTCCCATGCAAGCCAGTTAGCATTAACTAGTGGAGCAAGTCCCGGTAGTTTCTGATAAAACCCTGGTGGAATCACAACCCACAATGCCAGCACTTGGCCAGCCCAGTTGAGGAAACCATTTTATATATGGAAAGTAATATACTGTAATCCTAAATCAATCCATCCGGACTATACAACTAAAGCAGCATCCTACTGTAAGTGCTTTTTTTCTGGTTGAGCCAGAAGCTTGATCTTCATCTTTCCAAATACAAGAAACGCCTTTTTTACATAATTCGCACTTTCACGCTTACCTTTGGTTAGGATTGTCATGTGATTGCTTTTCTGTTTTCATCTGACTTTTATCTGCCTTTGTCATTATGTGAACTGAAGTTATTTGCATGTCAATCCTGAATACCCAGTGATAATAAGAATGCAATTATGCACTTCCCAGAAAAGCTAATCATCAGCAAAAAATAGTTTCTATGGAGACTGGGAAAATGCACAAATGTGACAAAATTACTAGATTTTTCTGTAACAGGTTTAGATGTGAACTGTAATCTTTATAAGCTTTACATGTGTGCCTTCCTGACTATACTAATAACATCGCCTTTCATATTTCTACATAGTGATTTAAACACAACAAAGTAAAATTGAAATACTGTGTCACTAACCTTGCTCAACCTCCAAGATATTCAAACATATTTTTCATTTTAAATAAAAACCTATATGAAAGACTTATATGTCTATCATGTATTAGAGCACAAATGTGCTGTACATCTAAATGAAATGAACACTCCAGTAGCTTCTTGTGAAGCATCTTAATGTATTATTCTTCCCAATTAAGGAGAGCCCTTGCTGGTTGCTAGGTAACTACTAAACGGAAAATGTATGAGAACAGCATATTTGCAAAACACTAATGGCATAAAAAGGAAAGCTGGCTTTTCCAAGGTTGTTATGTGCAGTACGTTACATTTATTCTCATCTCTATGTAGACATCTGCTATTGGGCATAACAGCTAGGATTTACTTAGCTTCTTTGTAAATGTTACCCTGTGTTTTATTTATCCTATTGTATGCCTTTTTTACCTGTGATCCTGGGCAGTATACTTGAGGAGCTCAGCCAGCTGCAGAGGGTATTTGCATATCTTCTGCACCGGCGTGAGCAGAAAGCCATCGATAGCAATGTCGATCATCTGCTGAAGAAGACGACAGGCTTCGAAGAAATGCTGGTACCTGCCATCTTTCATCAGCTTGGAGAGCTCCATACATGCATCCAAATGATTATTACAATACTCTGAGTAAATCCAGAAGCCGTCTTGCTGCAATACAAATAACAATGAAATAGGGAAAGACAGATCAGGTGAGACCTATAGAGAATCAATCAGCAAAGTGAGAAGCACAGATTATATAAAGAAGCTAAACGCTCAATAGCAAGAGACCCATTGAAAGCAACTGCTCTCATTAAATTAAGGTCTTCTGTGTCATACTGCTCTGGAAAGATGACGGATTACAGAGTTTATATGGGACAAAAGATCACGTATGAGAACTCCCAAGAAATATTGCCTTGTAGAAAAACTGTTACGTCACTGACCACATTGTTAATAAAATAGTCATACTGTAGGAACAATATATTTTTTTCTGTAGAATTACTGTAATTGTACCATAAAATTCTTTGCATTGATTTTTGTATGCACCAACCAATGTCATCACATTAATTGGATGTACTTTTATCCATATATTAGACTAGAAAACTTTAACACTGTCTCATTTTAAACAGAAATGTTCATACGTTTAAAAATTAAGTAAGAGAAATTACTTAGAAATGTTAGGTGCAGTATATTTAAATCCAATGACATCACATTTGTCCCCTGTTAATGAAGAATACAATAAAAGGAGTCTGGTAATTTGCTGATTAACTGTATAACTCAGCAGAATTCAATTTCTAAATATTGCTCTGTTATTATGAGACTTCACAAAGCTTTCCTATTGGACCATAACTTTTCTTCAACCTTCAAAATGCTAATGTAGATACAAAAATAATTTGCTTGAGCATGCTGAACAGAATGGCAGTGTTTAAATATATAAATAACCCTTCAAAAGTGGGTTGTGTCTTGCAGACAAAGACATCTAAGCAATGTTATGTGTTTTAAATAATTACAAGCCACATTTGGGTGTTATCAGACCAGTCATGTGAAACCAGCAATGCTTACTTTAATTGGAAAGCACTTTATCTTAAAATTGGATTAATATGATTTGTGCTTTGGATTTACTTAATCCTAAATTTCTATCAAGGCTGACTCCAAGCACTATTCACTCCAGTTTATGACAACATTGTTCACAGATTTGCTTTATTTCTCACTTGAAGCATCATTAATATTCCTTTAAGATATCACAGACTGTGTCATGACCATCCATGTGAAGTTGACAGTCCTTGATCTTTTGATTCAAACCCTGAAAAGATTACTTTTAACATTTTACTGTCTGAAAATGATGATGGCATCTGAAATATCAAACCAATTATTAAAATAAAAGTCAATTAAAGCCTTTTGGTCACTCCAAAGGATAATTTTCATTTGCAGGTGTAATGATGTTTCGATCAATAATCAATATTTACACTTAGTACAGTATAGTCATATTCAGTTCCTGTGATTAGGCAGTCAAAACAGTAGCCAACAATCATTTTTTCGGACTGCATGAAACAGAACATTCAAGAACTCAGTGTCACATATTGTGTACTGCATGAAGTTTTTCAAATCCATAAGGCATTTTTTTTAAAACACTCTCTACTAAACATTACTCATTGTGTTTTAATACAGTTTATCTATTTTTCTATGGCTTAATCTGTTCTTCAGATTGTATATGAGACTGTCTACATTACAGGAATTTATTTTTACTCTGTCAGAAAATCTTTCATAGTTAATAACTGTGTATTAACTACATATTTTGCTGTATTGTAAAACAGTACTGAAGAGTTATTTCTCAATATAGCTGTATGAGTACAAGCAATGTATATATTATTAACTAAATTCCTTCTCTCCCATTGCATCCCATGAAGTCCCCTATATGAATCTCATATGTTATTAACTACACCGAAATAACAAAACATTAACAAAAGTAGATAATTTTGGATGTAACACAGGATGAGATTGGATGAGAAAATACATAGTAGTTACCTATAATTATTGTATGTTTGTACTATTTAGCATTCTCATACATTATCCACAGTTACCTCTGAGTTTCCAATACTTCATTTTAAGTAAAATATTATATTAAATTATAATATTTATATTTTATATAAATTTATATTTATATTATACATTTTATATATTATATTTTTTTATTAAATACTCCTTATTTTATTATTAAAAGGAGATCACTGAGGATCTATCTTGCTGATAACATTTCAGATTTGTGCCTAAGACTGGTAAAAAAAAACACATCAAACAACCGCTAATGGACAATAAAGCAAAAGTTGTCAGGTGTCTGATGAAATGATGTCAGGCATAATTAAGGTTAAGCAATTCCAATGCTCCTGTGTGCAATGCTCTGTACTTACATGTTCTAGAAAGCAAGGTCCAATTTCACTAAGATGAGGTTCTTCAGTATTGTACTGCTTCTCCAGATCACGTACAAATCCCATTTGAAATCTGTAAATGTCTTCGATATTCCCAAAGATAACTTTCAATTGATCATCACTGAACATGTCTCTTCTTTTTCGGCATTGCTTCAAGTAACCCTAGAAAGAAGAAATTAAACAAAACATCAAAATTAATATCAGTCACTGCATTACAAGTAAAACCAATTTTTAATTTGTTTCTAAATGATTGCTCACCCATTTTATCTTTTGGAACAAAAGTGAAAAACACTATTTCCATATGATGGAGCTGTTCAGAAGATGAGTCATGAGTCATTATAAGAGTTCTATGACTATCACAGAACTACTGGTGATTAAGCACACACCTTTCTGCTTTAGTATCTTTTAAATTAATTTATGATCTTCTAAGGGGGTAACTGTAACTAAGCTATTTTAGGTCTCTGTGTGAAACCCATACTTTTTGTATGCATCCATATTGTAGATATTTCTTCATCTTTATTAAATGATGTCTTTTAAAACTGATTATACGATTGCACCACGTTCAAATCAGTGAGCGAAAACAATAATACAGATACAGTATGTTACAGATCATGGTGCTTAGTGATTGAAATACTGTGACAAGCATAGCTTTGAACCATTATCCCTCCATACCTAGAGCATGCATTCAGTGCATTCAGGTCATGCAGTGCATGACCAGACAGATCTAAATTTTGATATTAACGTGCATCAAAAATATTTAATTATATTATTTTTCTGTTTGCCCATCATACATAGTTTATGTTGCAGAGTGGCACTAATCTGATTAGTGCTATCATCGTAGTACCCATTATCTTGCCACGCTACATGAGCTCGGGATGTCATATCAGCCGTTCCAGTACCATACTGTTACTGTGCTGTGACGTCAACAAAATTGACTAGTAAACAGCATGACAGTTAGCACATGCACAGTACATGTCAATGTGTACAAATTCCTCTTGGTAATCTCATTTGTCCTATTTTATAGCAAGAAATGCAATACAATCTTCGTATTATCTTAGATATCACATAGCACATTTGGCTTTTTAGCTTCTATAGGTTAAAACATACTAACAGGTTATTTCTGCATTGCTTTCTTGAAAATGCACCACATGCCACTTATGCATACAGAACTATACGTAGACAACCTTTCGCTCTTGTGCTTTACTGCCTTAAGTGAACAGATGAATTTCCATGACCTTGACCATACTTCACTCCATAAATATATGTATTACCCTGGTTATGTAAAAACTTGAGTTTTCTGCTTTTCAAACAGCAAGTTAAGACAGTGTAGAAGGCAATATAAAAGACTGCCAGTAGTGAGCAAGCCAATGGAATAAAAAAATGACTGCAGGATGACAGATAAAGAAAATCTAAGAGCATTTTAAGTACTTTTTCGTGTATTCCCTTAGGAGCATCGCTTGCCAGGAACAGGCAGAACATGCAGAAATAAAGTCCCTGTTACTATCCTAATAATGCATACTGTGTGCAGCCAAGACTGGAGACTAAGGATTGATATTGTATAATGCTGCTTCAGAGCTCCACTCTTGAGCTGAATGTTGACCCTTCTCAATCGCTACTTTTCAGGTTTCACATCATAATCCTTTACATTTAGCATCCAGACAACAATTTCACCTCGCCTGCCTTGTTAAATGTAAACTAGTTCCATGTAACCAGTGCTCCACAAGATTTCAAGTTTCCTAAATCCAATCCTCCTTTTTTCTTAACAAGTACTTTTAGTACTTAGCTCCATGGTCCAAAGGGGTCGCTTATGACTTCCTCTAATGTATCAGAACCACCTATTTTAAAGCTAAATAAATTGATGCTTCACTCTAAAGTATATTTTGAGTTACAAAATGAAATTACAGGCTAAACATTTGTATAAAATCATAATAAAGAATGATAAAAATAGTGCACTTCAAGTGTTAACATATACTACCTGCACAGTCCTACTATTGCTGTCCAACATACTGTACGTTGTCCATAATGTGATTTTCTACATTTTACTTTTTTGTTAAACTATGATTGTTTATAAAAATTGCTTCTTGTAATTATATTCACAGCTGATTGCCAGAACACTACACGTCCAGTACAGTAAATTAGAATAACACAAGTTTTAAAATACAAAGCAAAAATGATAGATTAAGACATGGAGCAAGCAATTATGCTGTGTTAAATCATCCCAATATCTCAATATGTATGTAGTCCTCTGGCATAATCCCTAATAATGTGGAGAAACCCTTTCCAAAGGATCTTTTGCCAGCAAGAAGAAAAAACAAAAGGTAACACTTTATTTAAATGTGGCCTTATTCAGTCAGCATAACACCATTTGGAAGCTGTACAGTATATGACACTTCATTAACACTTGAAACTGTTTCAAAAAACATATGGTACTTTGCAAATTAATCAGACCCAGACTGAAATGTTTGTCAAACTGGAATTTCTTCTTTCCAGTCATGACACTTGACAATTGAAGTAGCAATTAATATTTTGATATATACAATCTACTCCACACATTCAAAGCAAAACATCAAAAGCAAATAAGTATACATATACAGTAAATAAAATTACCTATTTAAAGAAAAATCAAAGTCATGATTTCTCAAGTATTTAACCCATTTATCAATTAATTTAGGGGCATAAAAATACCTTAACGAGACACATTAGGTGAGTGGTCTTTATCTGTGTCCAATAACAACAGTTTGCATGATTTGAGAATAAATACTCCTGTCTCTGTAAGGTCCGTCAGTCAGGTAATACATTTCAAGGAAAGATTTAACCATGAACATTTAGGAGCTTTCACAACAACTCACAACAAGTAGCATAAAGGCACAGATCACAATGGTATACAATTATTTCAAAGATTCTGAATATCACTTTGAGCATGGTGAAGTCAAGAACTACTTCATTAAGAAGTTAAAGAAGTTAAAGGCACCTGGAGAGCCTAGATTAGGCTGTCCATCCAAACTGAGCTGTCGGGCAAGGAGGATGCCACTGTGAGGCCAAGGGCAATTTTGAAATAGTTACAAAGTTCAGTGGCTGAGATGGGAGAAAATATCAATGCATCAACTATATTCTGGTCAGTCTACAAAGTGGGCTTCTAAGGAAAAGAAATACCTGAACCCCGCATGTACTTTTTTGCAAATTTCTTTACTGTTTCTGCAAACATGTGACAAAGGCTTAGTAGGAGGCAATATTCCAAATTTTTCGTACAAATCTACAATAAACAATTGCATTTGATACAAACTCATTACAGTTTACCACTGAGTCGACATCAATTCCAGTGTCAAGTATAGCGGTGGCAGCATAAGGGACTGGGGAGCTTATCAAGATATACTGTTGATGGAGCAAAGTAAATATCATCTGAGAGGAAAACCTGCCTTCAGAATTAAAACGTAGGACAAAAATTAAACTTTCAGGGGGACAAAGTGAAAGCTACACTGAAGTGGTGTAAGAATAAAGGTCAAGTGACTTGAATTCTACTGAGAATCTGTGGAAGGCCTTGAAAATTGCTGCCCACAAGCAATACCCAAGTAAGATGGGAGATCTTGAGCAAAATGTGAATATTGCACCAAGCCGATGTACAAAGTTGTTAGATGCATACTGAAAAAATAACTTGCAGCTATAATTTCAGCTTCTACCAAATATTGAGTTCATGGGTCTGAATACTTGTGCAGTCAACATATTTCAGTTTTTTCTTCTCTTTAGGATTTGCTGATATATGTTACACTTTGATTTTCTTCAGTTTGAGCATTCAGATTTTGAATAAAATGTTAATTTCAAAATGTATATGTACAATTTTGTCATTTCACAAAATGGACACCACAAGAAGGGTCTGAATACTTTTGCTAGGCACTGTTACAGGATTAAGGTTAGGATCATTATTAATATTGTTGTGTTTGTCTTTTCAAAAATGAATATATTCTTAACTGCATTTGAAAAAAAGTAATAAATGATTATGAATGTTATTACAGCTATATAACCTATATAACACCACATTCAGATAGTGTTACCAATAAAAGAAGCCAGTATGTTGTCCTAAAGAACATGTAGTAGTTTAAATAATGTAAATACAATTGTTTAATTGTTTCAAATGTATAAAATTCAAGTTTTCAATGTCCTTTGCATAACATAATGAGAAACTGTAATAGACTTTACTACATCTGGCATTTTATCAGAGAAATATAATATACTGTATACTTGTAAGGATATAATTAGACAGACATAGAGCTTTTGGTTGTGAAATTTTAGGTCTGTTAAACTCTTGGGAATCCTTGGAAAATGTAAATTTAATTACAGAAAATCCACTTTTACACAGCACTGTAAATACAACTTTTTAAGTTAAAGAACAACAGATGTCACAATGTGCCCTGTGAAAGGAAAAACAAGATATCCAAAAGCAGCACAAATAGCAAAACTGAATGACAATTCTAATCATCCCTTATTATCTGCAGTTTAAAATACTGAAGCAGTGGGTGTTTATTCTGGCTGGTTTAATAGCTGCCAAAAATTGTGGAGAGTTAAAATTGCACCATTGAATCCAAATGACACTAAGTAATGAGTAGCCATGGATGTGTCAGATCAGAGCATTGCAGTAGGAATATGCCAGAACTGAGAAAATCATGATTTGCCTATGTGTTGTCAGTTCACTGACTATCCAATTTTGGATCTAAAAATTACTGTATGTTTTTTTTCCTCCCTACAAGAGTCAACTGGACTACTCAAATGTATGTTTTCATGTATAGTGAAAAAACAAAACAAAAGCCTGAATAAATTATTAGCATGTAACTTCCTTAATGTAACTAGAGGTCTTCCTACTGTAAATAACTGTTTTAAAAATATTACAAAAAGACCACAGTATCTATGAATGCTGTTACTAGCTGACTTTGAATCCAGTAGGGAAATGAGGCCCTACTTCAGGCTAAACCAGAAGGTCTCTTTGATCTATCTGTGCTTTTAACCTTTTAATTAATACTTGTTGGATTTTGTGTGTTTCGCTGCATTGAATTAACACTTCCCCAGAGAAAAACAATGCTAATAATATAAACGTACCAGTTCTGCTACTCTACTTTGACAATTGTAATGTCAGGAACTCTATAAGGAGTAAGGAGCAAATTCATTTTTAGAGGTAGCCTTATGTCTGAATAGTATTATCAGCAGCAGTTCCTTAATAGCTCCTCAACAAATTCCATTCAAATATTTTTTTCCAGGATACCCCTAATGTGTTGCATTTCATTAGCAAGAGCTGGGGGTGGATGGTGTTCAAGTTTCCTCCTTCTGCTTGCCAACGCTACACTATTCTTGAAAGCTGGCGTGATGAATTATCATGACAAGTAATCATCTGAGGCCAAGGATTCTCATGGCTGATAATTAAGCTTCATAAAGACCAGCAGTTTTAAGGTAAGACACAGTTATGCAGTGTAAGCATCAACAGCTGTACTGGCTGGCAGATATGCTGCTGTCTAATTGGGGCCAAGACTTCGTTGATTCCTAGCTGGGGCAAAAATGGTTCAATGAAAGCAGGTGTTTATTTTATGCAGCTTTTAGAACATCATATCAACTACAATGAAGCAAATGGACTGAAAAAGCAAGCCCCACTGAGACTACAGAATGAATACTCTTTACTGCAGGCTTACCTCACAGATGTCCTTCAGGTGCTTAATGTAGTGTCTCTCTGTGCTCATAATTTCATTGATCACATTGGCCCTCATCTGATCCCTGTTCTGGAGAGGCCTTCCAAGACACAGGCAGTCGTTGCTGGGATCCAGGTGGCCATTTTGTACCTCGTTGCTCCCCTCTGCTGCTTCCACACCATCTTCCTGGTTTACCCATAACTGGTGACATTAAATTTAGAAAGATGAGCACGGTAACATCATTACAGCATTCAAAGGTATCACTCACCCATATTTTAACAAATATATCCAAGAGAAACATTGGCCAGCTGTACAGTAGTAGGATTTGTAAGTAGTAGTTAGTCTTTCACCCTCAAGCAGTTTATAATGCAGTTAGTCACATGTGTGAAATCAATACAATAATGCAATTCCCAAAAAAGTATAAAAATAAAGGACTTTAAAGAGACTGTAAATGACATGAGCCCCATGAAATATAAAGCTAAATACAATTAAAGATTGAAAGGGAACAAACATGAAGTAAATGGAGACTAAAAAACAGCTACTGTAAAGTACAATACAGGTCTTGATAGATAGATCACTTTATTGGCCAAGTAAGTTTTCACTTACAAGGAATTTGACTTGGTGAGTTGCTCATACACTATATAAGTATATACTGTACAGTGCTGCAGTTCTAGGATAGATCTGGCACTTTATGTTTTTTAAATATAAACTGTTTTGTATAATGGCTTCTGAAACATCTTTTCTGGACATTTGGATAAGCTCATAATGAAGCAAGGTCTTCCTCCTTAAGGCTTGAATACTGAAATATCTTTTAGACACTGTGGTGACTGGAAAATTAAAGCACATGTTTCATTTTGGGCAAAAGTGGCTGTCAGCCCACATAATGAAAAGGGGCAGTACTATATTAAAATGCATTTCAAGTCATGTTTTATGAATATAATTTGTAATGTCAAAATATGTTTTATGTTCCACATTTGATCGACCCACTGTTTAAAGCAATAGAGAAAACACTATAAAAACTGCTGGGGTTAGATGATATTTGATTTTACCAGGTGTTTTGCATTTTCTCTGCTGCATGTATCAGGAAAAGCACTAAATTCTTATTGATTTGATATCCCATGGGGTCATTCTAAGTGCAGAATTTCCCTCACCACTTCTCTGCAGTACAACAAAGTTGATGATAGACAACAGAAACATTTGCCAAATGCTTTTGAAAGAATCTGCAAGGGAGCCAACAGACCATTTGTGTTGTTTTGTTTAATAGAAATAATACAGAAGCTTCTAGGACAGAAAGTTTAAGTGCTGTCTAATGTTTAACTGCATTACAGATAAATGAGCACTTAATATTTTTCCCCTATCATGCAAAATTCCCCCTTTTCTCAAATAAATTAAACTTAATCACTACAAAAAAGTAAGATGTATTAATTTTCAGTTAATGCAGATCCCCTTGTTTTGTGATCAGTGCCCCAACCAACCCTGTATTGGGTGGCTACATTACGAGCTGATACATCAGTTAGTGAACTTAGTAATAACACGTCTTATTGAATTTATGAGGAACTTTATAAATGTCCTACATTTACATAAGGGATTCTGTACAATCCGGAGAAGGTTCAGGCACAAGGTTTAACACCTCAGCTCATTTGAAATGTTGTATGAGATAATTAATCACCTAGTAATCAGCTCATTTAACACCCCATCTGAAAGGCAGCACCTCGCACAGCTCAGTCCTTTGCCACTACTGATGGGAATTGTTTTGGAACTTCTGGACCAGACATTTGCCACTACTGTTCCATATATTCTGTATCTCTTAGGTAACAGAAATGCTCAGTGCAACTGAGAATTTTTTTTCTCCCCCAAACAACAATGGAATACAGCCTTTTAGGTCTAAATTCCTTTATGCACATTAGTAGCAAACAGGAATTGGCTTATCTTAAAATTAGAAGTCATAAATAAATTGTCTTAGATAGGAATCTCAGCACACACCAAAAATGTTTCATTTCCAATGAAAAGCTGGACCAAAAATCAATCAATGCACTTTGATTGATTGACCCCATTAAATCTTAAATTAAATTAAAGCTGTTGTACATATATTGTGCCTACCTTTGAAAATGTTGTACCTATTTGTCTTTATACATATTAATTGTACAGTACATATGTATGATACAGTATACAGTATAATGTATGGTACAAATGTGAACGGTATAGTCATTTTAAGGATACATTTTCCATTCCCAGACCGTAACATGTGTCATAAAACATGCACCTTCAATGCAGAAGATTCATCCATATAGAAGATTCAAAATAATCTGTAATCATTTTGAGTGGTTTCCAGATGATTTCAGATATCTCCAACAAGGGGCACTAATGCACGCATTGTAATATAAGAACTTCTGTTCAATTAAACTGCTTAAAGCTCTTCAAAACTACAGTACATTCAGAGTAAGAAAAAAAACAGACATAAGGCCATTTGACTTACCCCCCGAGTAATATATCTCTGATCCATTGAGGCTATTGTCCTTAAATGTTAAATGTTACCTTAGAGGTACTTGGAGAAAACGGAAAGATTTAAGAAAATCTGAGGGTTGGCCAACCTTTTCAAGTAAAAAAAACAAATTACTGTCTATACACAAAACTAAATTTCTCGATTCTTACACATTTTATACAGTATTTGAAAATAATGTATATGAGAAACTGAAACGTATTTGTGCAACAAACTGAATACTCAGCTCTGGAAACAAAACTGTCACTTTGTGTATTCCTCAAACAAAAATAACTTTGGTGTTTATTGCTGGAGGACTTTGTTCCTGCTCACTTCAAGGGTACAAAGCTGTCTCATGTACCATACAAATCTAAAAATAAGTATACCATTTTGACCTAACCATACTCTTGCTATTAAAGAAAATATTAATTCTGTATGAAACTAAACTGTGCTATGGAATATTATTATATCTTACTGTATATACCTCAAGATGTAATGGATCTGGTTGAGTGGACTTCATACCACAAAAACAAAGTGGCTACCACAAGGGGTCAAAAAAGACTCTGGAAATGGTTAATTGTAGGGTTAGAGCGACAGGGTGGTACAGTTGTTAGCATTGTTGCCTCCCAGTGATGGGCCCCTAGGTTCAATTTTTGTGGCTGATGGATTTTTTATGTTCTCTCCATGTTCATGTGGGTTTCCTCTGGGTGCTGTGATTTCCTCTCACAGCTCAAAGACATATTGGTAGGTTAACCAGCTTCTGTAAAAATGGCTCTGGCGTGAGTGTGTGCATATTTGTAGCTGTGTGTAACCTGCGATGGACTGACATCCCATCCAAGGCCTTGTGTTCAATGTTTCCCAGGATAGGCTCTGGTCCACCATGACCTTGAATTGGATAAGCAGTTATTGAAATTGATAACGATCACTATGAATAACACATAAGTATTTTTGTATATGTCTCTGTACTGCACGGACCCAAGGATATATTAGAATGAGGATGGTGGAAGCCTTTAAAGAAAACCAGGAGTTTATTTGTTGAGATTCATTGATGTACATGATTTCTTTCATGTGTAAAGCTCTACAGCAGACACTCTTCCACAAAGTGAACACAATTACGATTAAAACAACCGGCAAGCTGTCTCAGAACATTACACCTTGAGAAGCCTAGTTCTTGTACCTTTTGGTATAATATTCCTATTTTAAAATAATCCATACTCTGGTGTATTGTAAATACATATCAATAAAATACTATCGATAAAAACAGAAGAAGCCAGAACCATTACATTTAAGTATACTTGTAATTTGCTTGTAAACATAGTCATTATTGATCTCAGTGAAATACTGTATATGTTTATGTTTGAAAACAGAATTAGATAATACAGAGCCTGTCTGATCTGTGTGAGATACATTTTTGTGTACATCCATCCTGGCTAAAGAACATTCTGTGTTCTGAAAATGTGTTTACTGAAAACTTTTCTTCAAACACTCTGCTTCACTGAAGTCATAAAGGCATACCACTGAAACAATTAACAGTTGTGTTCAACTTCTTCAACCCCTGTTTGGCTATCTCCTCATACATGGGCAAAGTGAAGTCACAGACTTGGAACATGTCCTTTAGGCTAGAGCTCCACCTTACTTACTTGCTGTATTAACCTTTGTTCTCAGGCAATTCAGATGTAGCAGTAGTTGTGTAAAGCTGCAAACATTATTTTACCAGTCTAGAAGCAAGATTTGTTTTTTAATAGTAACCAAATAGAATTTTAAAAAATATTCAGACAAGGCAAAACCCTTAAGACCCTGTAGACAAAAGACCCAAAAGACCCTGCATGTTCTGTTTTACATTGAGTGGTCCTGGGATTGCCTTCTGGTCCCAAGGGTGCAAGTGCCATGACTTATAACAATGGTCAGAGGTTACCAAAGCTGAATGATGGTAGTTCTTCAATTCCCAGGAAGATGTCAGTGTAAAGGAGGCAAGACAGAGCTCATTTTGGATATAATGTTTTTATCAATACAACAGAGTTATGTATATAAGTGCTGTCACAACCAAATGTTTTGTGTGACAAAATTTGACAATGAATACTAGTTGTATATTTGCACCTGAGGGAAAACGTTTTCAGAGGCCAACATACAGTAGGTGTTAATGATGCTTAGTACACTGTACGTCAGGCACAGAATTCTTTTTTCTAGTCCATTATCAACTGGACCATATTTTGTGACACCACTCTTTAATAAACTGGCAAGAAGAGAGGAGGAAAGCACTTGACATTTTGAAACTATATATTACTTAAAATAACTAACCCTGTATAGAATTTTTTTAATTTTTAAAAAAATAATTTACAAGTATGGTGTAATTGCACATTTCGTTTTATCACTAGAAAAAGTAGAAAACACAAACATTTAATAGTTACTAAGGAAGGCCTAGGAAATACCAGTGTTCAAAAATCCTGAAGTAAAGCAATGTGCCAGTAATAAGTTTTGAATAGTAGTTCACAAAACAGGCCACACATAAACTACGGAACAAAAGGGCAATCAGTAGTACAAGTGAGGTAATCCCATCCTGTTAATAAATCTGTCTACTGAACAATTGGTGTCCTTAATAACAGCTGTGTGAACACAGTGACTATATGTTGCTTTGAAGGGTTTCCTTTGTATTGCTTAATTTCCTCTAACATTGTTTGAAGACTGCTGTGTGATGTCACAAAGCTATTGTATGTCATCACAG